CAATGTTGGACTTAAGTAACCATGTCTGGTTTCCCCATATACATCGGGCAATTGTGCAGATGGCACAAAATTGCAAACACTGCACTGGGCAAGGTAAAAATTTACAACCCATCATAGGAAAAAAACATTCGTTCCAAATGGAACCAGTAGTCGAACCTAGTGAGGAAGTACAATTAGATTTTGCAGGGCCCCTTCCGGACGAATTAAATAGAGGCGCATATATCTTGGTTGCAATAGATAAGTGGTATAAATTTCCAACTGCAAAAGTCGTTACGAATACAACAGCGGTTATCGCTATTAATTTTATGCAACGGTACATTTCGAATAACGGGGTACCTCGAAGATTAAGATGTGACCAAGCACAGACATTTAGAGCAAAAAAACTTAAACTGTTTTGTAATACAAACAAAATAAAATTACTGTTTGCGCCGGTAGATGATCATAGAGCAATAGGGGTAGTAGGGAGGATGATACAAAATTTGAAGCGTGGATTAGCGGTCATGAGAATCGACAAAACAAATACACCGTAGAAACTCGCATCAGATGTAGCCGAAATCATTAAAACACTGAGAATTACACCACATGGCTTAACAAAAATTTCACCATTTGAGGCCCACATGCGACGTAAGCCAAACACACCCTTATCAAACGTAGCAACTAGTAGTTCACCTCACAATTTAAATTTGGAAAGTGCAAAACATGCATGTTTAGATCGAAAGATTCTTACAAAACCGCCACTACCAGCCGAAGTAATGCACGATTTAAAACAATGGTCAGAAGACGAAGTCAATATCAATAAGAGAGAGTTAGAAAAGCAACGAAGGTTAAGGATCCGAGAACATTTGAACAAAAACACAAAACCGTAGACGGCAAAATTTTTACATATACCCCACACACCGCTTGGGTGCAAACATTCGGAAAACAACCAAGATTACTAAGAAATAGCGATGCCGCATTTGTCCCAAACCCTTTAATATACGGACCATGCAGACCGTCTCGACTCAGTGATTACGTTGCTTATAAATCCGCGCGCAGATCAGGACCATGCCTACCTTTTTTAGACATCGAGAACCCTACTGCTCCCCAGCATCCAATGTTCAGACAAGACGAAACGACTGGCCTTCCAAGGAAACTAACCCAGAAAGACAATATAATGGGACAGGAAAAAACAGGAAAGTCCACCAAAGCGGAAAGCAAGAGCAACAGTAAAACGGGCCGGCGGGCGACCGACACGAAAGATAGAAACCAGCGGAATGAGTTTGCAAACGGATATCTTGGCCGCGACTTCAAACAATGACAACAGCATACCACAACCAGTAAAATCAGACAATGACGACCAGGATAATGACGATCAATCATCGGCCTCATCAGAGGATATTGACCCATCGCCTAAAAGGCAAAACAAGAAAAGAACGCCCCCGCGATTTCAACGGATCTGTTAAGAAAATTGACAAGAAACCGCCAATCGGCGATGTCCAATGCGTTTGGGAACTCGGTACCCATTAATGTCATTAACAATAAACACGACGAAGAAAGGAAAACGCCGCTCCAATTTGAAATTGATTCACCACCGGACAAACGAGAACGAGATACGGACAATAATCCAAGCCTAAAGTCCCTAATCCAAGGAATGGGTTTCACTGAAAAGACCCCCCAATACAGAGCATGTATAAAACTGATTGAAGCGATTGGCCCGAAACATAAAACAGGCCACACCGAAGTAGTCGATTTAACCTCGCCCACAGAGGACGACGCCACAGCCGGTAACAATAACGAAACTTTATTCGTCAATACGAAACTACAACAAGAAGGCGGGACGGAACAGACAAAGAAAAACAACACATTACAAGATGACGAGGAACACGAAAGTCAGGGGTAGGAAATTGCCAAAGATGACATACAAGCAGAGATAATATATGTCAAAAAGTCCTATCGGGACTATAAAACTCAAACCTGTCAGTCCTAATGGGTCTCTAAAACTCACAAATCTGTCAGTCCTAAGGGGACTTTAAAACTCAATTTAAAAAACGATTGTTTGTAAATTTTGTTGTCAAGGGGGAATGTCATCCGGCCTGGATCGACAAACTAACTTTATACGTATGTTATTTATTTTATTTATAATCTTATGTTGAACGCCTAGATGGACGGTCACTTGACCTTGATAGACAGAGAAGGCGAACTCTATTTGAAATAAGAACCAGAGTTGTATTAATGTTATCTGTCAACTAGTCGGTATGACAATCTCACTAGAGCAAAATGCGAGTTATAGAGTCATTGTACTGCTAATTGTTTGCCCAGTAAAAAAAGTGACCGCCATGTTTTCCAAAAATCTATTATAAAAGTAATTTGTTTGTTGTTTTTGGTGCTTTAGACTTTGTTAGGACTACTAATTTTAATAGCAAAGCAATCTGGATCAGATTAAAAAAGCATTGGTACGTTTATTGCAAAAAAAAACAATTTTTGCAACAAGCGAGACAAAGCGAGAGATGAATTCTTAAGGAGAACTGGCATTTGCCAAAAAAAGTGCCGGAGAAGCTGAGTACAAGATTTTGACTGCATACTATTCACCTAGAGAAAAATCTGCACTTTGCAAACAGAACCAAAAAACAGCAAAACTAGTGAAATAGGGAGAAAAAAAAACAAAAAGAATTGAATAATCAGACTGCCTTTTATTGATGCTGAAATGAATTTCTGTTTTTGTTATAGTTTTCATAGAAAAATGAAAGATGGAGGGATGCATTTAGCGATTAGAAACGTTTTGTTAAGACAAAATACAACATTTTTGGCCTTAATTCGATTTGGAAGATACAGTGAGCCGGAATAAATTACCGATAACCCATTATTAGCACAAAACATATATTGCTTGATGATTATCCCAATTTGGCCAAACAAGCGATTTTTGAACCTCTTTAATTTTGCAAAAAATAATCACAAAAATTTTTTTTTCACATCGATATCAAAACGCTAATGCTTTTAGGCTAATATAAAATGTTAAACATGCGTATTCAAAAAGTCTAAATATGAACAAAAAGAACATTTTTCAGCACATAAAATCATTTCAAAATAGACATTTGCAAGCTGTCTTCCGCTATTTTTGCGACTATTGGACTCGTTATTGTTTCTAGTGTTTTTAAATATCAAAAAAGTTGTCAATGGTGTACTGCTTCGAGACAATTTATTACAGCCATGCTTACCTTTCAGTTTCAGATGCTTTTTATGTATCTGAACTTTATCAAAACTTCATTTTTAAATGCAAAAGGTTTCACAACTTCTAAGTAGAAATAATTAGATTTCTAAACCTTAAGCAAAAGCCACTTATTTTGCCTTTCTTTTGGTTTTGTTTCTTCTTTACCGAAACAGACCTATTCGAATAAGTTTTGATAAGTTTTCTGCCAGGCAGGGTTCCGTACTCACAAATTCCTCACAATTTGTGTAAGTAAAAAAACTAATCATTCAAACCACATGCCATGTATAGGAGTTGTAATTTTTTAGTTCAATAGTAGCATTTCTGTATCAAAACTAAATAAAATTGTTTGACTAGAAAATTTCTAAACGAAATTTGGGTCAAAATTGACTTCATAATAGTAATAATCTGTTATTAGTGATAAAGTGATTAGCATTACTTGGTGGCAATTTTTGAAGTTGATTAACTAATTATGTACTGAAGCGAACTGTTCTCAAAAAAAAACTTCCAGAGAATCTTGTTTTCATAAATAACGTAATCTAAACGCAGAAAAAAATTTTAAAAAAAAACAGTTTGGTTGCTTGTTTTTGACAGATGCTCCAAAAGTCAATGGGTAAAAATAAAAAGCAGAAAACTGGTGAGCCAATTGGTAAATATTTATTTCTTTCATATTATTGTCAAGTTTTTTATGTGCGAGAATTTAAATACCTTTCTGACATAGAGAAATTTTTACCTGTGGCTACTATTTAACGAAAAAAGTCTCAAACGAAAGTAACTTTCAAATTATTGGAAACTTGATTGTATAGAAATTAGCCAACAGACCGTTGGAAAGAGTCAATGAATGCAAGTAAACTGACAAAATTACAAACTTGTTTATTAAAAAAAGCGCAGTTTGCCATTTTTCGAGAAAACAAAAGAAAGCGTCAAGGCTCTTTGAATTTCCACATTGATTTTTTATGGCCCTTTTTTGATAAAATTAACCCAATTCGAGAAAATGGATCATAAGGTAATACTTTTATTTCCCTGAAAAATCTGATAATTGAATTCTATTTTCGACATTAAAAATCAATCACGTTTTTAGTGACCTTAACAATTTTGCTGTTCGATAGCGGAGTTTGCCTTCCTTCTAACTAATGAATTGAACTGAACTTAAGAATAAATAAACCGCGAAAAGTAACCTTGATCTTGAATAAATTGTAAGACTTTTCCTGAAAAAAAAACAAAAAAATCAATGCGTCCTATATAAAAATCTGAACTAAGCGCATGGACTCTTTGAAAAAACTGCTCTAAAATTTGCATTCTGAAAACAAGGAAACCCGTTGAACAGAAAGCTCAGACCACATTTGAGATTTTTTCAAATTTCTGTTGTTTTGGTGCGTGGTTTGATGAGCGGAATTAGTTATGAACTTAAAAACCTAGTAACCTAAAAAATCAATTACAAGTTTGGAGGGCAAAAAAGTTTTATAAAAAACTATCAAACATTCGAAGACAAAGTTTCTTTCCCTTGTGAGTGGTTGGAGCCAGATATGACAGTCATGCAGGTGTATTTTATGGAGGTATAGGAATAATCTGATTGGTTATTCTGGTAGCCCCGGTATTCTATCGAAACTTTTGCTAACGTTTTTTTTGGTTCTTAAATATTAGTTCTTCAACCAGTGTCATATACAACAGGAAGAAACCTCTTCCCAAAATATATTGCAGAAACATTTTTTATTGTTATGTCTGTACTCAGGGCCTAGTTATTTTTTCTTTCCTTGTGTCGAGTTGCTCCAATGGTGTTGAAAACTATTTTTTCTATAAACGATGTTTCAATTGATTAATATAATCATTTATATTGCAGTGAAAAACTGGGTAGCGAATGCAGAGCAGAGCAAATGGTGATTGTTAAGAGCCAAAATTATTGACCTAATTCAAATTAAACGACAGAAGTATGTATGAAACACAATCAATCCAATTTCCTCTGTTGAAGTATATCCTTAATTTCCCCGAAAAAGTTCCAAAGGAAATTGAGCCGAACAATTCAGGATAGAATGAAAAAATAAGATACTTCCAAAATAATCTAAAATGTTAAATATCAATTTGTGCTAAACAGGATATTCTAAATGTCCACAAATTTAATTGGCAATAACAACTTTTTAAATTGGCAGCAAAAATTCAATACTGCAATTGGGACATTGGTTGTTCGTACATAAATAATCGCACTCTGAAGAGGAAAAGTTGAAAAATTGGTTATGCAGTAAATGAAATTTCAATTCAATCCTGTTTTTTTTTCAGATGTTTCTTCATGTCTTCGTTGTATCGAAAGAGCGTTCGTATTAATGATTTGGAGATAAACTTTTGCTATCTCAGCAGTGATTTTAGTATTTGAGCTGCGATTTGTGAGATTTTTAATCTTTTGTGCCGATAAATCAGTAAGGACATAAAACGTTCAATTTTTGCTGTTTCGAACAAACTTTGAAAACGATCTGAAACCGAAATCGCATTATTTTTTGATCAGCGGAATCAACCGGTTGATTTGTGGTATAATAGTAATAAATCTTCTTAAAATGAAGATGAATGATTGAGCTTCTAAAGTTCATTCGGTTGCTTTACCAATGACATTCCGGTCGTCGATTTGAACCCATTTTCAGGTTTTGACTCATCTAAGGAGTTCCCTTATTAGGCACAGAACACCTTGTAATCCACTCTTTTTGGCCTTTCAAGCCTTTCAAGTTACTTGCAATAATTTCATGTTTGCCAAGTATTCTTTTTATCCTCGGTTTACGTTTGAAGTTTCGCTCTAATATCGTTTCAAGTTACATTTGAAGTTTCACTCAATTTTTTAATGGAAATGATGATGAGGTCTTTTAAGGTAATTGGGAATTTTTTGCAGTAAATTTGATTTGAGAGAAATAAGGCGGGAAATGGCATTGCAAAGAAAGATCGCATAATAACTTGGATTTTGGACTAATTAGGTTCGTTTTGGTGCACTGAAATTGTTTAACTGTCAGATCCTGACTCGTTCAAAATTTCAAAACTGAAGGTTTGTATTAAGTGATGCGGGTATCCAAATCTTCTTTTTTAGAATCTTGGACATGATTGTCAATATTCCACATTTGTGTCATTTTAAGTAAGTAAATCTTGTCCTTGAACAATTCTGATCACTATACAGGCAGGCTTTTTGGAACTTGGAAGTTGGGGATCCTGGTGCCTGATGGTATTTTTGGTGGAAAATGTTCATAGATTTGATGGGTTCCTGGACAATGACGGGGATTCTCCGAAATCTTTGGAGTGTGCGAACTGCTTTTTGGGATCTCTGTTGACGAGTAGACGTGGTGAGAATGATTACTTTCCGACTATGTTGCAGCTGATGGTTCCGAACCCGATGAGGACGGCGAACACGAGGAAGAGGAAGTACAACACGAGCATGATGACGCCCATGATGCGGTTGAGGCGCCACTTCATGGACATGATGAGGACGAAGATGAAGATGAGCATGGAGAATAGCATGAGTATGTAGCAGAACATGCCATCCGAGGTGACCTCTATGGCGAAGTAAGTTTCCGAGGTCAGTGTCGGATTGTCCCCAAATACATTTAAAGACACATAGATCAGCCACGGGATCGGCAGCCTAAATAGTCATTGGTTCTATTACCATACTTCAAAATCAGGCTAATAGAGAAAAAGCCCATATGAAAACCTGTCGATTAATATTATATAAAAAGCATTGAAGTGCCTCTAAAAAAATAGTGGAAAGGCACCAAAAGGCCATAAATTTTTTTTCAAAAGCAAAACCAGAAAGAGGGTACATGTAGGTATATGTTAAGAGATGGTATATCTACGTATTTGCGAGTGATTACATTAAGAGTGCTATGTGTGCGTGTTAGCGTGTTCATTCGTGTGTTTTTGTCGCGTGAGGTGTGTGTGTGTGTTCATGCGTTCTGTTGCGTGTATATATGTGAGTTGCGTGTGTATGCGTTTTTTTTTGTATGGGCGTACGTGTGTGTATGTGCGTCGGTTGTGTGTGTGTGTGTGAGATGTGTGTGCGTTGTGTTTGTTGTGTGTATGTGCGTTTGTTGTGTGTGTATGTGCGCGAGATGTGTGTGTGCTTGTTTTGTGCCCGCAACGAGTGCCCGCAATGAGGTTCCATAGATAATAGTCGAATATAATGGATTTTCAAGGTCTGTCTCCATAAAATTCTAAAATAATAGATTATAACGGATTATTAATTGGTTATAACCAAACAAAAAAGAAACGTTCTAAAACAATATAATCGATTCTAATAGATCAAGGAAGATTTTGTTTTACGCAAGAGCCTGGATTTTTCAAAAATTTATAGATTCAAAACTTGAAACTTGCAATCGTTAAATTGAGATTTACATTTGGCATGTAAATATTGTTGTATTGTTTTTTTCTCATTTTTTAAACAAATTTTTTGTCATTATTTTCTTTTTTGGGGTATCGCCGCTCGTCGCCTACTTACCACCACAGTTATGCCTATCAATCTTATTTCCTCCACTTGCCACCCCTTCTCCTCACAATTACCCACTTTACACACGTTGCACGGATAGGTTTTGAAAGTATGCTGGATATCGTTTTGGAATTATGTAGATGCGAGTAGGTTTAAAAAACCAGTAGGCTATAAGAAATTTTGAAAAAGCTGCAAATTTTTGCAGGAAACTTGTAAACATTTTAAATTGATTATATTTCTTTATAATCCATTATAAGAGATTTTAAATGGATTATAATTGATTTAATTTTTTCAAAAATGATAGATTATAATGGTAATATTCTATACCCTGAAAATCTATTATAATCGATTATTAACCATGGAACCTCATTGCGGGTGTGCTGGTGCGTGTTTGTGTGTTTGTATGTTAGCGAGTATGTATGCATATGTGTATAGTGGGTTGTGTGTATGGGCATGTGTTTTGCGTGTGTTTCGTGTGTCGTGTGCTTTTGTATCTGTTTTGTATGTTAGTGCGTTTCTATCAGTGTATGGTGTGTGTTGGTATGTGTGTAATTGAGTATTACCCGACGCAGATGTCGAAGAGGTTGCTTCCGATGGAGCTGCTGAGGGCCATGTCTCCGAAGCCCTTCTTGGCCACTAAGTAGGAAGTGATCAGATCAGGAACACTCGTCCCAGCCGCCAAAAATGTCAGACCCATGATCTAAACAGAAAACAACTTGCCGATTAACGAATACATTTTTCAGCAAAAACTTTAGAAGAATTTTTCTCTTTTTTTAAGAACATGAATTGTTTAGCGCTAGGTGACCACAATGTCAAGCACATAAACTGTAACGTCTGGAAAAAATCTCTCAAATGACAATTAAAAAGGCACTGACAAACGGGGATAAATTGTTCCGAATAAGCCCATTATAGGATGGCCTTAAATATTTTTCTTAACCCAAAAGTAGGAGAATAAATACACCTTGTAAGCTTTAGCTCGACTGTTATATCACATTAAAGCCGCTTCAGTCGTAGCTCGGATTCCAAACAAATATATATTTCCTCGAAGTCTGTCTCGCTGGAAAACATTGGTCTGAATTTTCCTTTTTCTGATTTTTCAGCAGAGATAGGAAATTTATTCCAACAATTTTTTCACTTCCGATATCTTTTTTAATTTTCGAGTTTTAACAAGAAATTACATCCATCCATGCAAGGATTTTTCCATTTTAAAAAACTTAGTTTGAACGAAAATTCAGGTATCAGTTTTCACTCTTTATATAATTTTTTTTTTATATTACAGTACAGCAAAACTCCGCTTAAGAAAAAATGAAAAAAATTGGAGTTCAAACCTATAAAAACAAAGATTCAGAATGCCGAACCAACAAAAAGAGCGTTAGCAGAAGTTGGAATTTTTCTGCCAAAAAATGCGACTTAATCAATGAATAGATTTGTTAAACGTGGCCAACAGACAGTTCTAAAATGTTAACTATATCACGCAGTAGCGTGCCGAGGAAGGGGAGGGGAGGGGAGGCTGGCAGTGAAAACATTACTTTTCAGTTCTGAAAATTAAATTTTCTCTAACGGGTGCTATTTCACATCCATTTTAAGGCCGACCAATCCTAAAAATAAAATTTTTTAAAGAATTTTTCGACGCCATCATGCACAATCCGATCTTGTGGAAAGTAAACATTTTGTTGAAAAGGGTAAAATTTAGCAATTTGAAAGATTATGAAAACTTCGAGAAATCCGAATACGCGAAAATTTTGTCAATCAATCAGAGCTCTGTCTTCAAAAATTTTGAAAGGAAAACATTAAATTTATTCAGTTATGGACAGTTTTAAGGTCATTGATTGGTTGAGAATTTTTGCGCATGCGAATAGACCCCATAAAACATCTTTTTTATTATTGAACGGTAAAGTTGAGGCAATTACTCGCATGGATTCACCATTTTCATGTAACGTCACTTGCCTACGAAATCTGTGGAATAAATTTGATTTTTATTTGAAAGGACGATTATTTGATTGAGCTAAATTGATTACAAAGAATTCACTTCCGTTCTATTTCTTGTGCTAATACTCTGGGGAAATGACATTTAGCTCCCTCTGTTTTGCCGTATGCTTCGAATATTTCAAAATAAAGCAGCTCCTTTGTAGCAGGAAATTACCAATTTTTGCCATCTCAGGGCGTTTTTATTCATGGTAAATCCAACATAATTTCACCAACTAGCACAGAAATATTCATCAGGCAAAAAGCATTTGCTTTAAAAAAAGTATTTCAAGGAAATTGGGAGCTATTCATGTTTTCCCATGAGATTAGAACGAACAGTAGAGAGAAAAGAATTTTGAATAAATTCATTGATTATACGTTTACCTTGAGGCTCTTAAAAGGTCAAAAGAGTGCCCACATAGAAAAATGCTTTATGAAAAAGAAACCCAAAAACTTAGCTTTAGAATCATTTTAGCTACAGGGAAAGTGTCACCGATGCTTTTTTCTACATTACCAAAAGTAGGGTCGTATCTTGGACTTTTTGCAAAGAGGAATTTTTTGAGAAAATTTTAGCCAAAAAAACGCATACATGAATGATACCAGAAGTTATGAAAAAATTTATGCCAAATTTAGTTAAGCCTAACAATGCTCAATTGGGCATCGGAAACCAGCAGTTTTTCACTCATTTCAGTTCGTAAAAACCTGGTCGAATATAATAATAGCCAACGTGAGAAGAACCGCTTTTTAAACCAATTCACTTGCTCAAGGTCATCGATATTGGCCACCGGCAAATTGATGTCAAAGTACGCTTTTTATGTATCTTAACAAAATTTATGAAGAGAAAAATATTCAGAAAATAGCAAAAAAAGACGTTAAACTATTTTTGTTTTAATAAAAAAATAATATGAACTGTCAAAAGATTTAACGATCTAACGAGAAAAAATGTATTTATACAAGATAAGGAAGACTATACTCTTTTGAATTTTCTTGAGCTATATAACAAGCTTATCTTGAAAAAATTTTTTCAACAGTTAAACTTGTATTTTTGGCTTACATCAGGTTTAAATTAATGAAATGATCCGTTTTTGGGGCAATTTTTAAATCGAAATTCCGCAAAGTAATCTGCACCATTGTAATTCTGCTACAACTCTAAGCAGTTTTTGTTCTTGTGTAATATCAACCTGATTTTCTTCTCCAATATCAACCTATTTTTCTTGTCTAATGTCGATGTCTTGTCCAATGTCAACCTAAAATTGTCAACCAAATTCGAAGAAAAAGTGGAATAGTTCTGTTTAGAGTATTTTTTCATATTGAGTCAAATATTGATCTTTTAACAACGGTTTTTTACGAAAAATGTTTATATCATCTGAACAATATTGTTGTTCAGAGCTAGAAAAAACTTTGCCGGTGATCATTTGTCATTTGTCATTATGGGGGTTTGAAAAATGTTATTTTGGCCAATTTGGTTTAATTAACGCGCAATATAACGCGTTCTTATAGCACCCATTAGCGTTAAATTGATGCATTTCAAGATGATTTGAGGAAAATAAATTATGTCGTCTTACTCTTAGGATATAGGACGCTAAATACATCCTTTTGTGTATTTTACATTAGCATATGGGGGGTGAATTGACGCAAAAAAATGATTTGAAAATTTTCATCAATTTTTTAATTAAAAATTTCCAATTAGCGTCAGATAGCAGTCAAAAACTTCAGGGTTTTGCCCTGATGAACGAGCAGTTTTGTTCAAATTAGCAGTGCGTATAAAAAATGCAAAAAACTTGAAATAGGTAGAAATAATTTTTAAAAGCCATTGCCAATTTAGCATGTAAATTTGAGTTTGTAGGTGACCTTTAGATATACTTTTTCTTCGAATAACTGATTTTTGGATGAAAAACCTTCTAAAACAGAATATTCGCTCTTTTTAATTAGTTTTTTTGATTCCAACATTGTGCAACTAAAGCAAATTGTAAAAAGTTCGGAAAGACAACTTATTTTAAGAAAATCTTTTCATTTTGACAGAACTTTGCGTGCATTTTGATTGCCTAAAAATTCAAATTTGCATGCAGATTTTGCTAGCAATTGGCAGATTGCTCCGTTTTATCAAATTTTGTTGCTTGCAATTTTTTGCAATTTTTGATATACAATGAGGCAGGCGCGGATCTAGGAGTTTCTCGAGGGGGGAAGCGGATTTTCAAAAAAATTTTGAAAATTTTGTCGACCTTTTTTTTTAGGTCGACCAAATTGGTTTTCTGAGCTCTCCCAAAACACTATAAAGACCCTAATTTGATCAAATTTTGTGCGCCACAGGCAAATTTTTGAAAAAAGGGTAAAAAGACGTTTTTAGGCGCTTTTCGGAAAATTTCGACCAAAAAATCGCGTTTTTTCGGCACGCGCTCCCCCCTCAAAATTAGTAAAGATTGGCGCCCGAGAGGCCTTTAGAAGAACTTTAAGGTCAGTCAGCCAAAAACGGATATCTTAAAATAGTTCAAAGGGGAGACCCTTTGGGTCGGCAGGGGGTCGAATCACTGAAGGAAAGGCGTTCCCCCCCCCCCCCCCCCCTATATCCGCTACTGCAATGAGGGGTGTATGTGAAATACTGACCACGGAAGGTATGCAGCAGAGCCACCCAGTCCTCTCCACCCACCACACCATGAGATAGGACCACAAGGCTATCCACACAATGCTCATGATGAAGGAGAGGGCGAACAGGTTGTAACCCCAGAAGGCGAACCGACTGCTGGCCGACTTCGTGCCTGGCTTGCCCCTCTTCGGGTCCGGAATCGTAAGCACGAGTGGAACCATGATGGGCAGCAGACACAGGTAGAGAAGTTTGCGGTACCATGGCTTCTCAGACGGCCACGCCAGTGTCACTGCGCCCTGTAGCACAAATAAATGAACAAAAAATTACATAAAAACTCAATCAAAATACACACAAAATACACACATGTCGTGGCAACGCAAATCTAGATTGTGGAAGAAGGATCGGTTCACAGAAAATTATAATAGTCCATCAGAGTTGAGTTCTAAATTTCTGAGCGAACCAAGACAACTCAGAAAGCTCAAATTTAGAAGATATTTCCTCTGTGATCATTTTTCGTAAAGTTATGGGGGTTTAAAGATAGCCCATTGGGATTATTAACGGGCGACATATTTTGTGCTATTAATGCCTAAGCGGAGATTTTATCCGTCTTAGAAATTGTTCGAAATTGGGTTGAGGCAGGCTATTTTGTAGAAAATTTGCTCATAAAATAAGCCCAAATTAGAGTAGGTGGAGCGAGAGTGAAACGCTTAGCGTTTTCATCTCGCCGTGTATTAGGGATTCAAGGTCCCCGAAAGGTCACCATGACTTTTGAGGTAGTTTGTCTTCTGTCCAATTGGTCATTTTCTTTCTTGCTGATAAAAATTATTGAAGTATGTATCAACTTATATCTGAGCTTGCGTTATTGTAGAAAAAAATGAAGATTTCTTAGTTTTGAGAGTAAATATTTGACTACAAAAATCAACGTCAATTTGTGTAAAATGCCGCTTGAAGTAATTATAAAGGGTCAACGGGTTAGCTTCTTTTCGGGTGTGCCGAAGAGTGGTGGGGGGGGGGGGGGGTATGGGGGTGTGGAGGAAGAGGGTGGGGGTATTGAGTTGTGACTTACATCATCTTCTTCTTCCTCTTCGTCCATCTGGTCTTGGGGGGACTTCTTATTCTCTTCCGCCTCACTCTCCCCATTCTCCATGATGGGCGGGGGAGGAGCAGCTGCCCCGTTATTAGGACCAGACGTCCCATTCATCTCTGCATAAGCAAACACAACTCACAAATTAGGTCAAGGTCATAAGGTCAGATAAGTTGTGGTAATTGCGATGAAAAAGTCATTGTTGCGCATACTGTCTCGGGTACAAAAGTTCAATTGACAGAAATCACTGATAATAGTAATTGAGTTTTCAAGAAGCAGCCATTACAAAATGTTTTTGTTTTTATAAAAAATCAGCTAACTTTTAACTGCATCCAGTTTTAACTTAATTGCAAGGTTGAAAGCTGTGCTCGAAAAAAAAACTGTAATAATTGGTAGCCTTATGAGTTAAATATCATTTGCTTCTTAGAAGCAATATGGTTATGTACAGAATTCTTTTGATTTATTTTTCGTCTTTTCGCCCATTCTGCCAATCGGAATTTTTGTGCTCAGAGACAAAATGCGACCAGTGATGACTTGTCAGCAGGTGTGATCCACTTTTTACTATCAAACCAGGCCAGCAATCCAAAACATCAAATGATCAAAGAGATAAATCAATCCTATACAAAAGTTCAACAAAACTTCTCGTATCAGGGCAAAGCCCTGGATATTCTGAGTGCATTTTAGTTTCTACGGAGACGGAGAAGTTTAAGTTAAAATAATTAATGAAGTTTTCGAAAGAACTAAAATTTCGAAGTCTCTCTCACTATTAAGACTATTAACTAAATAGATATGCAATACAAACTTTGGCCTTTCATAAATCGGTCAGTAATTTAAATCGATGCCCGAAAAAAGTCAAGACTGCTCGTATCAGGGCAAAACCCTGAATGTTCCCGGCTGCCCTTCAATTTTTCTGAACTAGTTTTTGATTCTAAAATCGGAGAAACTTTCAAAAAAACAAATCGAAATTTTATCATTTTTCCAAAGTCCTCCTCCCACATGCATATCCATGCCCAATCTTCAGAGAAAATTGATGTATTTAGCGTCTAATGGCGTACTGAGGTCGAAATTCGTCTGAAGATAAAAATAAACCGATTTCGTCATTTTCATAAATATTTCGTCACTTTCTTCAAAGTCGGAACAAAAAATTGACCATAATTACTCCTAATTGTATAGAACAAATAAAAATAAATGTTTTAGAAGAGGCAGTCAGAGGCAAAGAATCAAAGGCAACCCTATTGAAAAAAAATTTCGTGTTTAATTTTTTGCACCGTTCGAAATGCGACAAATAATTAGGTTCAGATTTTTCGTTTCTTAGCATATAAAGGGTAATTTTTTGCCGTGTGCTTGAAGTAATTGCTAAGTTTTTCCACACCTATAATTGCTGCTTTTTGCATTTAAAAAGAATTCAAAAATTTCAGTAGAATAGTACTAATTGCAGATTGTGTGAGGAAAACTGTTGTGCGATGCTAGCTATAGCGGCGTTGGCGGTGATCGAACCCTAGTCCTTGATAATCAATTTTTCAATATTCATGAGTTTTCGATTATTGTCTCCAAACTCAAATTATAAGCAGTTGTGTTTGTTAAATGTTTTCATTAACAGGTAAATTTGATCATAAAATCTATGATCGCAGAATTCTTCAATGAAACTTTTTTCAGAAGTATGCAACAAAAGTGTCAAAAAGATGAGATGATAATAATGCAAAGATAACAAATGGCAATGAAATGATCAATTATGTGACCCATTATATCTGTCCTGTTTTGCAATAATACATGTATAGGTATGAATCGAATCGGTGACATTCGCGCAACTTACGGACTAAAGCTGAAAACCAGTCAACACTCATTATATATTTTCTTCATCTTCAGTCGAGTCGTCACGTGTTTTACAAGCATACAATTCGAAGCACAATCACTAACCAGATCCATATGATTAAACCATTCATACTTAGCTTTGTTCAAATAATCAGTTTTTTTTGTTAACTCGAAGGGATAATGCAAACCCTAATTGCTCATTTTTATTAAAAATTACGGTAACGCCCAATATATATTGCTTGTTCTGTAATCTTTTAATAAAAATGATCAAAGTGACATGTAAGTAGCAAATAGTCCCTACATATTTTGATCAACCTGAAAATTTCTTCAGTGAAATGCTTAATTCTTGTTTCATGTTTCGAAAATCAGTTTCCTGTTCGCGATTTTTTTTCTAAAGCATTTGTTTTTGAAAAAAAAATTGCGTTTCAAAACTGATCGTCTCAATGAAAGCCAGAAAGTTATTTCACTGAAGACGTTTTAAGGTTGATCAGAAAAGAGATACTATTTGCTACATATGAAGAGAAAACCCATCGCACCATTTCAACTAACCTCTTTAAATTCTCAGACCAAAACCCACAACCCATCATAAACCACAGCCCTAATTGCCTGTTTTTACTCACTGTGAATAACAGCTCCGAGCTTTTTGAAATAATGATTGTCGGTGGCTTCGAAATTCTGACTTCCTTGAAAGCAGGGCAAAAACATTGATAAGTTTAGACAAGATTTTATTTTTAATTGTAAAGTTTTCTTTTGAAATTTTCATCATAATCAGTTTTTGTCGAAATGAATTCAACAATTAGAATGCGTTGATGCAGAAGTACACTTAGGTACCTGCGAGAAGGCCTTTTCAAATACGTTAGCACAAGAACTCGAAACTCTAGGATTTTAATAAGGCAGGGAAGGATCTAAAATTTTTCGAGGAGGCGCGGATTTTCAAAAAACTTCGAGTATTTTGTCGACTTCATTTGCAAGTTGTTCAATTTGACTTCCCGAGCTCTCCAAAAGCACTAAAAAACCCCATTTGTCTATGAAGAAGGCGGTTTTTTGAGAAAACAGGCAAAAAAATTATTTTTGGGCTTTTTTTAGAAAGTTTTCACTAAAACTTGAAACATGGTTGTCCACATAAATAATGAAACTGATGACAAAACAATTATTTTAACATTGGGTTGCTTTTTAAATAATCAAGTGCATTTTTTCTTCTTAAAAACTAACTAAAATAATTCAAACTTTGCTAATTCATAAATTTCAGAACTCATAAATTTTTATCGCTAAGGAGTAACTACACTGGAAAATTCAAAGTATAGCCAACAGACAATTGAAAAAGTGTCAATGAACTTAAGAAAACCAAAAAAACGACTGATTATTTTGAAGCATTTGCTAAACAAAATAATATCATCAGTTAAATGAAATAAGTTTGAAAGTCAGGGACATTCTGTAATTGACAATTTTAAAATTAAACTCAAGTCTGCAAACTGTTATTCTGCTGGAAAATCTAAAAAAATGCAACCAATTTTAGAAACTAAATATTGTTCGCTATTTTTGCATCATTGATGTTTTCACTGAGAAAGTCGTATTTGCTTTAATTTTAGCAAATGAATTTAAACTGAAATGAAAAACCGCAAAAAAAAGAAAATTGAGCAAAAACAAATTCAAGCATTTTTGTGAAAAAAAAAAACTGCATTAAGTATAACATATCCAGCAGACAGTTGGAAAAAATCAATGAACGCAAATAAACAGAAAAACACTGACTTGCTTTTTCAAAATCTCAGTTTTCACTTTTCAAAGAAAAAATTAGATGCCCTTAAAGCTCTTTGTATTTCCAGAGCAATTGATGATCTGCATTTTTTCGATAAAACTAACCCAATTTGAGAAAACTCGATCAAGGGGTAAGTGTTGTATTTCCCTGGGAAATCTGAAAATTAAATTCCAGTTTCGAAACTAGATGACAATCACGTTTTCCTTGGCCTTTTAACTTTCGCCTTTTTTTCTTCCTTTTTCTTCCTTTTAACAAAAGAAATGAACTTAACTTGAAAAAATCAAAAATCAAACCGCAAAAAAGTAAGCTTGAGCCTGCATCATTTATAAGACTTTTCCTGAAAAAAAGCAAAAAAAATCATCGCGACCTATATAAGAGTCTAAACTACGTTCATCGCCTCCTAATAAGCATTTTCTATTCGTTCATTGACACTTTAAATAGAAATTGTATCTTAACATGGTTGATTTGATGTTTACATTTTCATGATGATATGAAACCCTGCATATTTACTACGCTATAGGCTTCACAAAGTTTGTTTCAACTTTTTATTCCGTTATTTTTTTAATAAATTTTAAGGTTACAATTACCGAAAACCACAACCACAGTAGCAGATAAAAAAAATCAGCGAGAGCCAAGCATATTGAGAAACCAGCCCTGCGTAGAAAATGTGCTTAACTGTTCTACTTCTAAAATCAGAGGGTGGTGTGTCTCCGGGAAAGGATGAGAGAAGGTGGGGCTAAGGCTAAGGAAAATATGGATGGTGTGGGGGGGGGGGGGGGGTGTGGGGGGTCGTATTTACGCTTGTTGTAAATAAACAAAACACACGACTGCTATTATCTCTGGGATAGTGTATTTTTGGTTGGTAATATAATAAAAAGGTCAGCTAAGTGGTAGTCCATCCATATGATTCGGAAGGGGAGAAGAAAGACTCACTTTTGATTCATGGGTGATGTGTAAGCGCGAGGAGGGAGGGGGGGGGATATTTATAATTGAAATGTATGCATTGCTATGAGCCATTCGAGAGAAGAAGCAGTATACCCAGTCAGACATGAATAGTATGCATTACATCTCAGTAAAGTCAATCGATAATTAATTCCAACATACCGTACAGGTTGCCTTAAACAGTTCAAAATTTTAAACTTTCAGTTTCAATACTTATTGCGAATATAAGGAAAGAAGGTTTTATGAACATTTTACCTCCTGGATTAATTAAAAATGTCCATCTTGTAAGATGCCAGGGTTTAGTTAAAAAGATCCCACGAATTTTTCAAGATTCGAGAACATTTTAGCTTCAACATAGGGTTAGTTCTTACTAAAAAACCTACAAGATCTTGCAAAATAGACACTCAATATCAGCAAGGCTTCATTGAGAATCAAAATCAGAAACATTAACAGACAGTGAAGAATGAACAGAAACATATCATTGAAATTTACGTTTTCTCCATTTTGAAACTAAATAGTAATTCAACTATAAGAAAACTTTGTATTTTTCCTAAATAGACAGTGTATCAAAAAAGGTCTTTAGCTGAATACTAGTGATATTTACTCTTTTTTCAAACTAATTTAGGGGTTTGATTGGGGTTAGTCGGTGAGGAGGGGGGGGGGGGGGGGAGAGGGGTTATGACACATACAGTTTGAAGACTCACGATTTTTCTCTCCCACTCCGGCGGCGGCACCTGCGATGCCCACGGGAATGGCCAAGGCAGTTGATATACAGATGGTCTTCCCTGAAAACACAATCAACACTTATCACAACATTCTCTCGCCTCACAGCACAAATGTGCATTTACACGCAATTACATTCGGCTCTTTTCTATTACAACCCCGTAGCAAATCATAGCCCTCGATAAAACAAAAAAGTCTAATCTGGTGTTGATATACTTGATGGTTGCTAGATTGGGGGGGGGGGCTATAATGGGAAAAAAGCCTTGAATTTAACATACAAAGATATACCAGCAAGCAAAAAGCACAAGAAGCCGAAAGGAAAGGTCAACAAGCCCATACTATTCTGTTTTTTTTTTCATTTTCCAGACATAGGAGCGTTATAAGTTTGACGTAATAGCAATTATTGTTCAACTCGGCTTGTAGACTTCGTAACTTGTTGGTATAGTAGCCTGGTTGGGCGTTAATTACCAAAAATACACCAATTAATTGCTCAGACGTGATTCATGAAAACTGTTTCGATTTTTTTAAAATACGATCTATAAGCTACGCAAGCTCTCCCGATGGGTTTCAAGAACTAAAAGAAAAAAATAAAATAAATTAATTTCAAAAATATTCTTTCAAATTGAAGTAAACTTTTTGACGCCAATAAGTTAGGTTAAATTGTGGTCGAAACTTCGATTCTAATTGCACATCAACCAGTTTCCGGTTGATTTTTTTTCATTTTTTTTTCAGTTGAGCACGTCTGAGCATTTATTTTGTTTACATTTCGCTGATAAATAGTCAAAACAAAAATAAAAACACTTTTTAAAGAGATGAGCAGATATTAAACCAACAAACCAAGCCCTGATCAGAGAAGAGAATAGCATATGAAATATAAGTACACATAATAAGCTAAGTGTTATTGTTATTTTAGTCAAACGAATCATTGATTATAAACGAAGCCTTTTAAAACATTGAATATAATCAGGATGACCATGACCAAGTAGAATATGGATAGCCGGTTACTGTGCAAATAGCACAGAATGTTCCGACCATAGTCTTTAGAACACTACGGTTTAGAAGTTTTTTCCAAATTAGTGTAGTGTTTTCTGCTTGGAGTGATCTAACTTAAAAATATAATTTAGGCATATTAGCCAGTCATCGTAATATAGGCAAATTGGTTAACAATTTTTGTAAAAGAACTAAGAAAATGGAAAAAAGTGGATTTTGTTTTGAAGTTTTTGGTTGCTCAAGGTGGGACTGGCTGCGGTAAAATGAATGACATCTCTTTCACCCACAGAAAAAGGTCCAAGGTTAAAAAGTGGGAACTTGGACGGGTCTAACGAAAAAAGGAACTCGAACATACATAGTGGTTCTTTAATAACCTTACTCTGCAGTACGTAATTCGCGGGAGTCGAAAACTACCTGGGTGCTTCTAAAGGTAAAATCAAGGTAAAATCAATTCTGAAGGTAAAATCAAGCCAAAAATGTCTTTGAATTTTAAAATTGGCATAAAATTTTTGTTGTTTTGATCTAGGCGACAATTGTTTTGCGTAGAAAAAACAGTTTTTTGATTTGGAGCTCATAAAAATGGCATATTTTTCTAAAAATCCGGGTGTAAACTTTATGGTATGAAAATTCCGGTGGGATCCATTCGATTTGTGTTGCGGAGAGTGGTGGGGGGGGGGGGGAGGCGGTTCTAACAATTAAGTAGAGCAGAGTATGTAAAAATTTAAGACGCATTTGGTCACCCTGATAAAAAAATTAGTATAAACGGGTCAAAGATAAAGCGTCTAAGACATCAAACATGAAAGGAGTCCCAATACCAATAGAAAACAGCAAAGCCACAGAAAAATCATCTGATGACGTCACACCGCTAGACTAGATGTAGCTTGAGAACATTCCAGACATAGCAACATGTATTACCACTTTGGTATAGAGGAGGAGGGGGTTGCGTAGGGGTTGGTTGGTTAGTTGAAAAACGAGCATGAGACGACAAAGTCTTCGAAAAGTTCTTTCGAGAAAACGTTATATATTGCCCTTGTTAGCATTAACAACAAAATAAAACTCCAATTTTTGCTTGATTGTATGGTGCACATCTTGATGGTTCCAAAATTACCGCTAGAAGTTTTGTTAGAATTTCTGAATCTTTAAGAAAAAGTCAAAAACCCTTCAAGCAGTTAGTAAAATAGAGATTGAATTTTACCTTACATTTTATTGACAAATTAAAATTATTTGATTTATCTTCATATCACTAAAGTTTTCATTCTGAGAGTTCATCAAAAAATTGCCACACGCAAGGTGTACTTGTTTCAAAACAGTCTCGCGGAATGAACTGCAAGAAAAAAAGAAAAGAAACTAATTCAAACCAAATATTGGTCCTGCAACTGAAAGTGGATCAGAACTTTTTTTCGGGTGTTTTAGTTTTTCTTGTTTTCCACGCAAAATCAGGTAATATAATTAATCATCAGAATGGGTCGAGAGATCCATCATATCAAAGATCTTTCAGTCATCTAATTAAAGTCGAACGAGATTAAAAAATTAATGTTTTTCTCAATTTCGAGACAAACCCGTTTGAAAATTTTGCGTTTTAGTCTAAGCTTGAGCGAGTAAAGCAAGCAAGTATATCGAGCAAGACATGTTGTTAGACGTAACTCTTCTCTTTACAATTCCTACTCTTTAGTAATTCTACTCGTAATTCTACTTCCAAGTGTAATTTCAACTTTACTATACTTCTAATTTAATAATTTTCATTCTTGCAGTTTTTCACCTAATTCAGTAAGCCTTTACGAAGAAATAAAATAGCCATCAAACAGTTAGAAAAGCGCCATTGATTACTAGTAAAACCGAAAGTCATCTCACGAAAGTCAATTTACATTATGCGCCTCTAAAACTCGAAAAAACATTCTCGTTAACACTATTTTCATAGCACTAACCCCATCAGCAAAAACTCGTTAATTTTTTTATTTCTCTGAAAATCTAAAAAGTTAAAATACACCTTCCGAACCAAAATTTCATGTAAGTTTTTTTGGCGCCGTTTCCGCTTTTTTTTAAATAAAGAGCGTAATTTGCCTTCCTCTCATCAAATAATTTTGATCTGATCCTAAAAAAATCAAAAATCAAACCGCAGAATAGCAGACTTGGCGTAATCAAAGTTCTAGATTTAAGTCTTCGAAAAAAAACATAGAAAATAGAAGATTGGAAAAGAGCAATGAATGCAAGTAAACATAAAAAACACTGACTTTGTTTAAAAAAATTCAACTTTCGAATTTCAAACAAAGAAAAAGAGATATGCCCTCTAAGCTCTTTGAGTTTCTAGAACGATTTATGATTGGCGCTTTTTTGATAATACTAACCCAACTTGAGAAAGCTGTATCAACAGGTAATGTTTTTATTCCGCTGGAAATCTAAAAATTAAATTCCACTTTCGAAACGTCATTTTCAGTAGATGAATTTCAATTGAACTCAAAAAGTGCATTTATACTTAAGTGCATCAATATTTCAAGGCTTTTCCTGAAAAAATAAAAATATAAAAAACAGCAAGATTTATGTAGAATTCTTCACTACGGTCATTACACTTAACAAAAAACAACGACCTATATAATTGTCTTCACTACGTTATTCGATACTTAAGCGACAAATTCAGCAAAATAGTGGGTGAAAAAAATTTTTTTTTTGTATTTTTACTGTTTTTTTAATTTCGTCAATTTTCACTTTACTAAATAATGCTTTATGATAATTGCACAGCAATCGGTGTTTTTTAATTTTCAAGTAAATTTTTTGGAACTTAACTAAAATTACCTTAACAATTTAAAAAAAATAGCAAAACAAGACAGGTTAATGAGTCATCATCAGTTGCAAAACAAACATTCTTTACAAACGCAAAGCGACTGAAAAATCTAAAATCATTTGAGTTCTTGATTGTTTGGTTTTTAAATAATATTTCGAACTCAAGGTCACAAGTTAGAAACCAACCGAAACTTTACGCTGCTAGCCATCAATATCTGTTTTGAGCCATTTTTGACTTTTTTGCGCTTCAATTTTGTTTCGAAAAAAAATCAGGTGAATATAAGATTGAATGTACCAACTACACTTAGCTTATAAAAACTTTACACTTAGCTTCTAATTTGTTAAAATAGCGTCCGAACTTTCGTAATTTCAATTGCGTCTCTATGGAAAAAATGGAAATATAAAACATAGCCAACAGGCAGATGAAAAAGAGTCAATGAACACAAGTAAACAGAAAAAAACGGACTTGTTTTTTTTTTTCGTAAAAAAAATGTCAAATATCGAACTTAAAGAAACAAACAGATAGCCTCAAACTTCTAGAACAATGTGTGATTGACCGTTCTGATAAAATTAACCCAATGGGAAAAAAAACGGAATCAATAAGTAAATTTTTTGTTTTCCTGGGAAATCTGAAAACTAAAATTCTATTTCGAAACTAGAATTCGATCGCGTTTTTCGTGACTTTACGTTTTGCTGCTTGATAGAAATTTACCTCCTTTTTTACATGTCTTTATATTAATTTGCTTTTTTTGTTACATCAAAAAGTATAAAATATCGAAAGACAATCCGCAAAAATCGAACGACAATCCGCAAAAACTCAAATTTGAGCCTGAACAAGCTCCAAGACTGTTCCCAAAAAAACGGGAAAAAACACGACCAATATAAGAAACTGAATTTTGTTCAACGAATCTCAAAAAAAACTACATTAACTTTTTTCTAAACTTTATCTTAAAAAAATTTACAGCAATTTTAAATAAAAACCACTTCAAATATAAACTCATTAGAAAAGTATACAAGCTGCCTACTAATTGACAAAAAAGTAGATTTGGAGAAAGCCACTATTTAGCCCTGGAAAAAATTCAGTATCTGGTTGTCTCACCCTTTCTTATCACAAGGTAAAAAAAATCCATTTGTAATCCTGTGAGAAAAACTTTAAACGCTCATTACGAGGCCAAACTGTGCACTGGATAGGCGCACAATTTCGTGTCTGTATGTTCCTGGATTCCAGAGACGAATGATATACAGAAAGATCAAAAGAAATGAAAGAACAAAGAAGAACAAAGGGAGCGTCCTTATTGCGTATTTCGCTTACATTTTCCAAAATACACAGTTCAGCCCCGTAATGCTGGTATGGTTTTTAGATGGCTCAAAACCAGTAAAACATTTTTTTCGTGGCAGCTATTTTTTTAAATTATTTAGAAAAAACAAACGATATTTGAAATTTTTTTTAAAAAATCCTTATTTCCCTAGCTTCTTAAAAATCAAGTTTTAAACACCGATAGGTATTATCTGAACAAAAAAAAAGTTTTCAATAATTATGCAGCCAAAAATATTACAAACTGAGACTGAATAATTTCACAAGATTTACCAACATGAATCGGCGTTCATTATATCATCAGCACGCGGACAAAATAAAAACAGTTTGTACAATATATATCACTTTTTCGATTTTTTGTTTCATAAATCGAAAATTCAAAAAATGATTTTTTTGTTCTCACTACACATAAAAATAGGAAGTAATCATGGAAATTATTAAAAATAGGAAGACAGAAAGGGGGTCGTTTAGTGCATGAAACCCAAAGTAAATAGAACTTGATTTCACGTTAGTATCATTTGCTTGTGCCGATTGTAAGCCAAAGTAGCTGTTTTGTAGAAATGTTTACGCTCAAATGTTTATTGCTGCGCCCCCGTCAAAATCAGCGGGCATCAAATACTCAAAAGTAAAAATGGATTGGTTGAAATGCTTTGCCAATCCGAAAACTCAGAAACGGGTACCGGACATCAGGCAGACGAGACTTGAAGCCAAACCGTACAATTAGAGACTTCAAAATCAAAATCTTCTCAGAAGCTCTCAAAGAATATTAGTTTGGAAACTGTTTGAAAAACTTCTGAGTTTCATATTCTTCAATGGCCAATTATTGGCTTTTTCTCAAATTTCGAGACTTCAGTTAATGTTTACGAATGATATACAGTTGACATTTCAGCATTTTTCTCGTTAAGTTCAGTTTTTGACCTGAAGTCCCTTTGGTTGGAAGTCCAGTCAGTCTCCCTGTTCCCTCACTGAAAAACGTGAGATTGAAATCGATTTATATAGATGTTTAAACAGATAATATACTGTATAGAAATCGATGAATGATCGCTCATTCAATAACGTGAATAGATTTAGTATGGATTAGATGATTATTACATTATGAAAAAAAAAACAATTTTATTGCGCAAAATACGGATTAAAATCAATTTAAGTGATTTTTGAAAGGTAATGAAAAACATTCAAATCTCCACAAAATTTAATTTACCAATTTTTTGTTTCAAATCATGAGCATTTTCTACTCAAGAAAATCTCTATTAGAACTACAGAGAGCAAGTTACTCGAGGAGAGTTTTTACTGCAAACTATTGCGTTTAAATCATAACCTTAAAAGTGCAAAGCTAAGGGTTCCCGCGGTAATGAGAAGAAAAACTATGTAAAAACTTTTCAAAAGTCATTTTCATTATCAACGTACTAGACTCAGTTTTGTTGAGACTAGGATTAATTTTGCTTAGCGCAAATAACATATGATTTTGAAAACCTAATTAGAAAATTTCATTTTTGGTGCAGAAAGTTTAGATATTAGTTATCTCCATAATTTATTTTCTGACCAAACATCAAAACGAAAAAACACTTAAAAAGCATACGTTAAATTTTAATTTCCACTATTTCTCTACTGTTTGATAGTTTAGAAAATCTGAATGCAATTTTATAAAATGATTATACAAAAAGTCGTTATAAACCTATTTACATAAATTTTCATCGATTTCTTGTTGCTCAATTACGTTGGAAAAAGAACTCAAAAGAGTTAACAAAAAAGGAAACAAATTGATTTGAAATCGATTACTGAAACTGATTCTTAAGATACTTTAAGTATCAAACTAAATCTATTTTCAAATCAATTAAAATGATTTTTTAGATCTCTGCTGCATTAGCTGTACAAAATTGGTTGCAATCCATTTTTTGTCGGTACGGTTTGTCCTAGACTCCAGAAAAACAAAGTTTTACAGCATTTGAGTTCAATTGTCACACTGTATATGTTGGAGTAAGTTTGTTCTAGGCATTTTAGGTTTAATTAACGAACAAATCAGGATACAGAAATGGGCTGTTGATAAAAAACACTGATATCAAGGGAACAAAAACCTTTACCTACAATAGCTTATTTCGACAAGTTCCAGTCCGCCTAAGAAATCAATTTAGGTTAAAAATGCTCATTGGAAAAAGGCAGCTGTTAACTTGGAATGTTTGAAAAAGCTTAAGAACTAGAAATTGAAGTTATATGGGCGCCAATCCATAGAAAACACAAACAAAATGATATATTTTCACCAGTGACGTGCGCAGAATTTTTATAGGGGGGGGGGTCTCTCTCCTTTCAAAATTAGTCACATTGGCGCCGAAGACGCCTTTAGAAAAAATTTGAGGTTGTTCAACGAAAAATGGATGTTGCACTCAGTAGTGTGCGCCCCCCCCCCCCCTCGGCACACTACTGATTTGCACAAAATGCGGTAAAAATGATGTTCACAGACTACCTTGTATTAAGACAGCAGTGGGGCGGATTTTCAGATTGTTAAAAAATCAGCATAAATATTCAAGTTAAATGCTCGATTGTCTAATTCTTGGAAAGGTATGAATCTGTTTACTTCACACAATTTTTACATGGAATTAAAGAAAATAATTGCATGAATAAATTGATTGTAAACGTTCAATTAAGGTAAAACTGAAATTTGATTATCAGATGATGATGAGAATGATGACAGCAATCGATCAAGACACTACTTATTTCTGTTATTTTTGGAACAAACCCTTGAAACCTAAGATACTTTGATGAAAACGATCTTCTAGCTGGTTAGCATTTCTGTTGAAAGTTCTGACATACTCGTAAAGCCTTAGGAACCTGCAAACTGGACAAAACGAGATATTAAAGCGTTAACTAAAAACGAGACCCTAGCTGAATAAGTGAGAAAGGAGAAAAAATGTTTGAAATTGAGAAACATTGAAGCGCGATGAACAATCAAATTGCCAGTTAAGTAGTTATGATAGCGAAACACTCTGACAAAACCAAGCTGAAGACGCCAATTGCCATTTCACTTCAAATAAGTTCAAAGTTCAAATAAGTTCAAATTAAGTTCAGAGCGGGCGGGAACTTACTTGAGGCCAGAAGAGAACATAAAAGTGAAGAATGGTTTAAGGCAAATTTATGCAAGTTGCATATTTAGGATAGTACCTCTGTATGATGCTCGCACTGAAATAACATCGATTAGTCAACATCCAACGTCTGCCAAAAAACAGGTAATTTTAAGCAAAACTAAATGATTTGAAGCAAAAATTCTATGCTACAAAAAACTAGACAAACTTTGATTAAAATATTTGTGCTGAATCAGTTTTAACCTTGCGTTTCGTGGCTAGTTATGAAATAACTATTTGTGCTTTTGAGCCGAAAGTGCGATTTGTGCTTCAGTGATAAATACATGTGCGCGATGAAAAAAGATATTTGTTTTAATTGAGTTCATGAGATGAGTCAAACCACAAAGCAGACATGATTTGAACCCACTTAACCTATGTGGAGAAAAGGTCATAAGAGGTCAACAAACTCACGTCTTCCTTTCTGGTCACGGAGTCCTGCCTCTTGCTGAATGGCCTTCATGTCCATTCCGTCCTAAACGAGAAACAAAAACTTCAGTTTAAATGATTAAAAAATATTTTAAAATTTTAAATCGTATAAATTGATTTCGCGTGGTAAAATTCAACTGTTTGCCGCTCGTATAATATGAAAATGGAAACTTTTTGATTTTTTGATCAGCACCCGGTAATCGCTGGTATCTGAATGTTTGAGTTGATTACGCATAGGAAATATCAAAATCTATAAGCAGCATGTTTTGTTACAGCTTTATTGTTTAGTTCAAATCTGTTTTTTTTTTGTTTTCACTTTCACTATTTAGTTACGCGTTTACTCCTGAACTACGATGATTGTAAATACCTTACATAAAAGATTGATCTTGCGCACTTCCTCTGAAAAGGTTTTCAAAACTAATACTTCTTAGGACGCTTGTGGGGCGGATTCAGACGAAGGATGGGATCAAGTTAACATACTCCCCCCTACCTAGACCTCAAGTTAACATCTTCTTGCCCAACATTTAATAAGGAATAAATTCGGAAGGTGTTTCGGAAGAACTAAATTTTTTCTGAAGGTGTTTTGGGCGCCCGTACATACTTAATTTGAAAGAAGAGTGCACGCTGAAAAAAAAACATATTTTTTTTGGTCAAAATCCCAAAAGCGGCATTTTCATCCCTTCCTCAAAATTTGAGACAATAAATTCAGCAGACGTTTCAAGAAGCTGTTTTAAGGTTTAAGAAATTGGCTTTGAGTTCTAATTTAAGTTTGCGCATAGTTACAAGGAACATGCATTGCGTACCCGCACTCAGTAAAAAGAGAAAATAATAGATTATAATAGATTTTCAATGTCAGTCTCCATAAATTTCAAAAAAAAAATTGATTATAATCGATTAAAAATGAATTATAATGTAACATTATAATCAATTCTTTTTTAGTTTTTTTTTCAAATATCATTGCATTATAATCCATTATAATGAATTATAATCCATTATTATTCAACAATTGTGTCATCGCTTCATTTTGTTTTATTTTTGTTTTGTTTTGTGTGCTTTTCAGTTGGTTACCGAGCTAAAAGAAACTGTAGTTTTGTACTTATAGCCAGGGGCGGTTTTAGGGGTGGGGGCTGAGGTTTCCCCCTTTGAACTATCTTGAGATATCCATTTTTGGTGACGGAGCCTGATAACTTTCTAAAGGCGCCTTTGGCGCCAATATACACTAATATTGAGGGGAGTAGTGCACCAAAAAACGCAATTTTAGATCAAAAATTTCCAAAAATTGTGTAAAAACGCCTTTTTTGGCCTGTTTTTTCATAATTTTGCCTGCGGTGCAGAAAGTTTGATCAAAATGGGGTCTTTATAGTGAGTGAGGAGTGCTCACAAAATCAATTTGGTCAATCTAAATAAAAGGTCGACAAAACTTTTTGAAAATCCGCCCCTCCCCCGAGAAAGTCCTAAATCCGCCCCTGCTTATAGCTTAAACTTACCTTAAATATGATTTCTACTGTATTTTCAAGCAGAATAGCTGAATTATAATCCATTATAATTGATTTTTTTTGTGAGATAATATTTTGATAGAAAAAGGGATTATAATCTATTATAATAGATATAAGAGATTTTCGGAAAAATTATAAACAATTATAATTGATTATAATATATTAAAAATTCACCAAAAATGTTATCATTATAATGGATTATAAAGCATTTAAACATCTAAAATTGGCGCTTATAATTAATTATAATTTTGCTCAAAGTACAATTATAACTTTAATATAATCGATAATTTTCTCTGTTTACTGAGTGCGGGTAGTATCTCACATTGTGTATTTAAAAATAGAGATAAAAAAGCTTTTTTTTGTGCATTGAGGTAAATTTCAGATGCATATGAAAATATGAAAAAAATTAGCGATATTTACAATAAAATCTGAAAAATTGTGTGAAAAACTTTCATTGATTACCAGGGGCGGATCTAAGATTTTCTCGAGGGGGGTGGGGCTCTTGGTGGTATATTATAATAGGTGGTAGGCTCAATTTCAATAGCTGGATTGCTTTTTGTTATACTTTGCACATTCTTTATAGTTCGTTTCAAAAGCCAAATTTTTTGGCAAAAGCAGTGCGAAATTTTCATTTTTGAATAGCATTTCATTTGGCAGAGTAATGTATTTACAAAAACAATTTTAAGAGTAGTACAATTGATTGAAAACGAAAGGACTATATTATGCATTATAGTTCTGGTTTTTAATACATGCACTATACTCAAAATTACCACCTATTGTAACATATCACCGACCTTATTTTAGGTCAACCAAAATGATTTTCGAAAAAAAAATTTCGAAAAAAAGGCTAAAAAAAGCATTTTGAGGCCTTTTTTGAAAAATTTTGACCAAAAAATTGCGTATTTTCGGCGCGCACTCCTACATCAAAATTAGTAGATTTTGGCGCCATAGAGGCCTTTAAAAAATTTTAGGGTCCGTCACCAAAAACTGGATATTTCAAAACAGTACAAAGGGGGACCCTTCGGGTCGGCAGGGGGTCGAATCCCTGAGGAGGGGAGGCGCCCGCCCCGTCGCCTCCTTAAATCCGCCGCTGGTGATTACCAATTTTTGTCTAGAGAAGAGATCACAACTGGAATAGTTATTCTCCAATTGATTCAAAAGCATGGAAATTTAATATTTCATAATCAAAAGTTTGGATGAACAAAAAATTAAATGTTACAAAAATGGAAAGTTTGAATTTCAATGCATTAATCTACGATCCAAAAATCGACGCCCTTTGAATCAATTTCAACAACGCCCTTTTTGTGCCTAGCTCTTCTCAGCCAATCATTCTCAACCAATCAACGCCTTTTGAATTTCTCAACCGATCAACGTCCTTCTGAAGCTGTTCAGAACTGCCTGAACCTAGCGCCTATTTTTTCTCGAAAGGTTGACAAAGTTTTCGCGCATTCGATGCTTCGGGAATGAAGAATCTCCCTTCCCGAGAAGTAATACAGCTAGAAAATTAAAAAATAGCTTTTTCATTTACCCATTACTGATGCGCTTGTTAATTCATTTTTGGCTAGCGAAATCTAATTGAAACAAAATCATGATGATCGTATCACAGTAACCTGCGCTGTTCTGGTGAACTAAAGTTGGCGGAAAAAGATTGTTAGAGCTCCTAAAGTCTTCTACAAAATCTACAGTTTAGAACTTTTACCGTTGGAAAATTCCTGACTTTTTCCAGAAAATGTAAAATTAAAAGTATTCCGGAGAACTCCATAAAAGGCTTAGGTGTTATTTTTGAAGGTTTATTCTCCTAATTTAAAGAGTGTTTATTAGAATTTAAAGTCACAATCTTATGAATTTCATTAATCGGACATGAAATTTTTACTGAGCATTCAATTTTTTTGGTCTTTTGAATTCTTTCAGTTAAATACTTCTTCTTTTTTTCTTCTTCTTAAACCAATTGAAAAGTTATTCTCTGTAAAACTCAAATATTAGGATATATTTGCTCGTCTCAAATCTATTTGGCCGCTGCGCTCGATAAAAATGAATAAAATAAAGGAACTCATTGCTCACTTTTATTATTCCGAGTTGGCTAAACTTGGGCATTTTTAACGAATAGTCAAATTTACGAAAATTGATCGCAGGTAATACCTACAAAGATTTGAGCTTGAACATAAATATATTCCAGATGATACACAAATAATCTGCCTAAAACTGTCTTTTTAAAATCAAAATTGGTCTAATGAAAGCTACACTGAGCATATACATTTTTGGGCGTTACTTTTTTCGACTGATCTTCTACCCGAGGCCAATTTGCAAAATAAATTCATCTTTTATAACGAACAATTAAAACCTTACTAATCAAAAAGCCCCCGCTTTGGAACTAATAAAAGTCATCAATACAGGAGCTCAAGGTCACCAATACAGGAGCTCAAGGTCACCAATAAAAGAGCTCAAGGTCACCATAAAAGGAGTTCAAGGTCATAAAAAAGAGCTCAAGGTCACTGATAAAGGAGCTCAAGGTCACTGATAAAGGAGCTCATGGTCACTGATAAAGGAGCTCATGGTCACTGATAAAGGAGCTCATGGTCACTGATAAAGGAGCTCATGGTCACTGATAAAGGAGCTCATGGTCACTGATAAAGGAGCTCATGGTCACTGATAAAAGAGTCTAAGGTAACTGGCAAAGAAGCTCAAGGTCAACGGCAAAGAAGCTCAAGGTCAACGGCAAAGAAGCTCAAGGTCACCGGCAAAGAAGCTCAAGGCCACCGGCAAAGAAGCTCAAGGCCACCGATAGAGGAGCTCAAGGACACCAGCAAAGAAGCTCAAGGACACCAGCAAAGAAGCTCAAGGACACCAGCAAAGAAGCTCAAGGTCACCGGCAAAGAAGCTCAAGGTCACCGGCAAAGAAGCTCAAGGCCACCGGCAAAGAAGCTCAAGGCCACCGATAGAGGAGCTCAAGGACACCAGCAAAGAAGCTCAAGGACACCAGCAAAGAAGCTCAAGGACACCAGCAAAGAAGCTCAAGGTCACCGGCAAAGAAGCTCAAGGTCACCGGCAAAGAAGCTCAAGGTCACCGGCAAAGAAGCTCAAGGTCACCGGCAAAGAAGCTCAAGGTCACCGGCAAAGAAGCTCAAGGTCACCAGCAAAGAAGCTCAAGGTCACCGGCAAAGAAGCTCAAGGTCACCGGCAAAGAAGCTCAAGGTCACCGGCAAAGAAGCTCAAGGTCACCGGCAAAGAAGCTCAAGGTCACTGGCAAAGAAGCTCAAGGTCACCGATAAAAATGGCAACAATATTTATGTGAATTTAATGACACTGACTGAAAAAATATGTCCACGTGTGTTTGTAAAAAAAACTTACATCTGAGTCGCCGCTGCACATTTTGCTGCATGCCTCACAGTTCAAGTTCTCCTTGACGAACAGTTCAATCTTCTCGTTGAACGCCATAAAGGTGCAATAGGCTAGGTACCAGCAGAAGAGAATGACCGGCTCCCAAATTTGGATCTTGGAGTCGAAGAAGCTGCCGATGATCATCATTAGGCCAACTGAGTAGAAGAACGTGTCTCTGCACAGAGGCCACCACGTTAGACTCAGCTGAAACATCGACTCAATTAACCTAACAACACCACTTAGCCGAAAAAACCGCAAATCACATACGTCGAGAATCCAAATTGCGTTATGAGAATCCAAATTGCGATTGATGAAAAACTCTGTTTCAGATCCCAGAAAACAACAAACCCTGAGCTAGTTGAAAAATTAAAAAAAAACACTCAAAAAACTCAAAATACTCAAAAAAATTACTCACTGTCAGATTACTTTTTTTGAGTATTTTGAGTTTTTTTAGTGTTTTTTTTTTGAGTATTTCAAATAACTCAGGGTTTGTTGTTTTCTAGGATCTGAAACAAAATTTTTCATCGATCGCAATTTGGATTCTCATAACGTATGTGATTTGCGGTTTTTTTCGGACAACTTTTTGTGAATGGAACATCTATTATTTTGTTTGAGAATATTTTGCGTTAACTTTTTCTCCATAAACAAGCTATTTTTGGAGGTGAAGTTGGCTCCAATTTTATTGGATCACAAGTCATAAGATAAAGGGCAAATTTATTTCCTTTTGCTGCTTTTTCGCCCACAAAAACAATTAAAGCAACCAACTGACGTCATTCATTGTATTATTCACATCAGACCAAAAAGTAAATTAAAACAAACCACAGACGATGATATTCACCTCAAAATGGGAATTAGATTTCAAAAGGTGGTTCAAGTTCAACATTATTGCAATAAGTGTTCGCTGGTCAAGCCATTTGGAATTTTTCGAGCATTCAACAGAATTTTAAAAAAAGGATAAAAGCATTGAAACTTGACCCGAAACTCATTTTGATAACCAAAAAAAAATTTCCTCCGGATGAATTCTCAAGGAAAAATCAAAAGTAATTATTGGAACAAAAACATTGAATTATCTTGGTTTTTATTTAGAGATAGAAAAGCCCAAAAAAGGATGTCGAGAGATTATCTCCAGCTGAAAAAGGGGGATGCGATTATTCAAGCAAAACAAGCCAAGTCATCAATCAATCAATAAATTTTGACAGTGATTGAAAATTTACAGATTTGCCCAATTTTACGGGCAAAATAAAAAAAAATGGACTTTGCTTTGATACGCAAAAAAAACTTCAGCTGAAAATTTTCTCTCTTGCAAAACAATGAGTGAAAACAAACAATGAGCGATCCGACCATTTCATTTGTAACGTGTCGGTGAAAACTTTTTGGTGTTTAATTTTTTCAAACGGATTTAAATTGAAGTTTGCCAATGTAATTTAGCTTTAGTTTTTTCCAACTTCCACGCACTTTCACGAGCAACATGGAAAAAATGTAATTTAATCAAAACGCAATTACACGAAAAAAATGGGAAAACTAAGGCATCAAGTTTGTTAATTAATTTCCCAGGTTGACCACCGTAGACCGAAAATGCTACTCACACAATTCCATAAAATAAGTTTATGAAAAAATACTACTCATACAAATTTCATACATTTTGCTAAAATGGTGTCATCGAACTTGCAAAGAACTTTTTTTCTTTTTTTGGCATAAACGTCAGTGAATAAAAAAAAATTTGCGTCGAAAAAAATTGATCATACAATTTCCATTTACATAATTCGTATGACTAGCGTGTTTTGATGTCCACAACAAAAAAATTTGAAAAAATTTTGAAATTTTCCCAAAAACGTTGTTTGTTTTTTTTTTCAACAGCAAAAAAAAGGGCTGTTGAGTTCAGGGCATCGATGTTGTTCAGATAGTACAAAAAATCCTACAAAAAGTGTTGGTTAAACATCCAGGTTTTCGATGAAAATACAGCGCAATTTAAGTAGAAATATTCCGTCAGTTTCAGTAAACCATGGTTTTGTACTGAAACTAATTTTTTACCAAAACATTTTTTCGTATCCAAAATTTAATTATTTTTATGCATAACGTAGTCCTGGAGACACAAAAATTAGATTTTTTTCCGTTTCTCTAAATAACTTTCTTGAAAAACTCTCAAAACTCCTATGTCTCTTGTGTGGCATGTTTTGGCCTGCCTTGATCAATGTCTGAAAATTTTCAAATTCAAATTCTCAAAATAATCCTCTTTGGAAATTTTTGTCAACATTTAAAAGTAGGATGCTGAGTAAGACTTTCAGTATATCATCTGAGTAAGAAAAGTCTTATACAATTCAAGTCGTTTCCAATGCCGATGGTCAAACCTTTGGTGATTCATGATGGTCAAACCTTTGGTGATTCTAGTTTTGGGTAAACCATGGTTTTTGTCACTTGTGTTCGGTTACGAATTTTCAAATAAATAATTTTTTTGGCTTAAGGAAAACTAGAATCTTAAGGCATATATGAAAAATCACTAATCATAGACGTTTCATGCAACTTTCTGTACTTATGGAATTGTATGAAAAGTGTATGAATAGCATTTTTGGTCAATCAGGGATGAATCAATTTATTGGGGTGAATTCTACATTTTAAAACCCAGAATTTTACCAAAAAGCAGGTAAAAATTGATCAAATTTTGAGTTCAGGGCATCGATGTTGTTCAGATAGTACAAAAATCCTACAAAAAGTGTTGGTTAAACATCCAGGTTTTCGATGAAAATACAGCGCAATTTAAGTAGAAATATTCCGTCTTATTCTTCAAAAAACAGTAGAAATATTCCGTCTTATTCTTCAAAAAACAGAACAACCTGAAAACTAGTTTTAGTTCAATATCTGTAATTTCTGACTGCCTGTTAATTAGAAAATTTTCTCTAACAAAGTTCAATTTTAATTCTTATCAAGCTAAACTTGAAGTTGAATTTTATTTTTTGCTTCCCCACAGAAGATAAGAAACTCAAGTGAAGAAGTTTAGTAGCTAGAAATCGATTGGAGAAAAATTAAAATGCCTAAGAAACAAAAAACTTATATAACAGACAATTAAAATAAGTCGATGAACGCAAGCTAACAGAAAAAATGTTGACTTTTTTTTGAAAAAGAAATTCATATTTTGAACTTCAAAGTAAAAACACCTTTGTCTTAAACCTCTTTGAGCTTCAAACAACGTTTTATGATTGACATTTTTTGAAAAAATTAACTCAGTTCAAAGAAATTGGATCAAAATGTGAAATTTTAATTCCGCTGGTCAATCTGAAATTAAAAAACCCCTTTTGAAACTAGAAGTCAATCACATTTTAGTGACCTTACATTTTTGTTGTTCCACAGTGTAGTTGACCTACCTTTTAACAAAAAATGAACAACAGAACTTAAAGATGAACTTAAAAGTTAAGCCGCCACAAATTGAAACATAGCGTGAATAATGTTGCGAGTTTTCCTGAAAAAAAAGGAAGGAAAAGTCATCACGATATGTATGAAAGTCTTCACTATGTTCATCGAGTTTTAACAAGAGCGTTGAAAATAAACCAAGGCATCAGCATGTCTTAACGTATTTAGTACCCGAAGGCCTACCAGTCTTCCGCAGAACTGCTTGATGAAGGCTTAACATTTTCCAGAAAATCAAATGAAAATGCATATCAAAATTCGTTACCAAGGACACATCAGCCGTCCTCGGAAAAAATGGAACAATTAATTTGTTGGTTCGCTCCTTTGCTGAAAGTGGGCCTCAAATGTTTTCATTATTGAAAAAGGATGGAAGATTTGTGCTCAGTTGTTTTTCTCGGACAATATTTGGCTTTTGACAAGTCTTTTCTGACGGGAATTTTTATACCATCTAAAAAAAGTTAATGTCTGGGCCTCAAATTTTCGTGAGGTTATGGGGCTTTAAAATTTGCCTTACTAGATTAGGATGGGTGGAACGAGCCTTAAGCGCGTTAGTGGCAATTTCATGCTATTAACGCGTATTTTTGTGCTATAAACGCGTAAGCAGCAATTCAAATAATTTTTACTTTGAAACAAACACTCCTGTTTGTCCTTTAAAAATTAACTTTTATCAAAGTTTCTGAAAAAAAAATCGCGACCTATATCGGAGTCTTAAGTATTCATCGGCTCATCACAATTTTTTCTTTTCGAACTTACCATTCATCCAAATATGAAACTATTGTCCGTTAACCTAGAGAAAGAGATTTCATGAATAAGTGATATATAATAAAACCTAACCTCGCAAAAAAAACCAAAAAGTTAGCGCACGCTTTTGTATTTGGTAATTTTTTTTGATAGAAATCAAGAACGCTTAAAAATGCGCCGATTTCTTACAATTTGCCTGTTTTTGTGACTTGTACTACTTATGCCTAATTTAATGGGCAAACAACACTGAAACACCCGCTCAGATCAAAAAGATTTGAATGTTTTTAAAATTCAAAAAAAAAACTGAAATGAATTTGCCAATGTTTTGGCGGTGAACGAACAAAAACAATCTCGTGTTATTTTTGATTTTTATTAATTCAGTTGACAAACGGCTGTTTATCTGCTGGTTGGTTATTCACAAGTACCATAAAGAAAAATCAGTCCCATTTGAACCAAAGCAAAAATCAATTGCGTTAGTTCCAAAGAAATTCATTTGAACAAAGACTACTAAGCCGACTTTTTAAGGTTTTTAATTAAAGGTTACCGTTGGGGTCTCCACTTCGCGGCGATAATCGGCTCTAATTTTTGTACAGATTCCGACCGTCTATTGGCAAGCTAGCAACATGTTGACGCAACTGCGGCGGTCACTATTCTGCTGTTTTTTTTCTGCTGTTTGAATAACAGTGAACTAACTAATTAACTCGTCCTATCATAATTCGATCAATCAGAAATCAAGCTGAACAAATTTGGTACAAATGGGACCAATTGTTCTTTTTGGTACAAAAGAACGTTGGTAGAAATGAGACTTGACCATCTGCTTAGCTTTTGCGCTGTTGTTCATTCTCCCGGGTAGACTTAAAATCCCTTATCATACAATTCTCATAAATGGGAAACTTCTTTTCATACAATTTCATACAACTCCATACGTACAAAAAATTGTATGGAAACTCTATGATAAGCATTTTCCCATAAATGGAAATTGTATGATACGTATTTTTTCCATAAACCAAAAAGTTGTTTTTTGTTCGTAAATTTATTTTCTGACAAATTTTCGGTTGTGTTTGCAACCGAACACAAGTGGCAAAGACCTTGGATACACAAAGCACCAAAGTTTGGACGGTCTAGCATTTACAATGCATAGAAAACGACCTGAATTGTCTTCGAGCTGTCTTTCACAAATGATATAACAAAAGTAACAAACTTTTAATTTTTGGCAAAATTTTTCTATGATGATTATTTTAAATTTGTGAATTTTCAAATTAACAGACATTGATCAAGGCATACATACAAACACGCCATACAAAAGAAATAGGAATTTTCAGCGTTTTTGAAAAAAAAAGTTTAAGTGAAAAGAAAAAAGCCAATATTATCGTAGGAACACGTTATGCACACAAAAATTTAAATTTTGCATGCAAAAAATTTTTTTTCGGAAACGTCTGTTTGCGCACAAAATTCGATTTGCAATTGAAAAATAACAAAAAAAATTTATGGGGAAGTTTTCAAAGTTTTTGTGTCGTAAATGGAAATTGTATGGCAAGCATTTTTTTCAAAAAAAATTTAACATCAGTTTTTTTTTGTCACCAGTCTGTTCAGTTTTTCTCAAAAAGCCGCAGAAATGGTTTTTTTTTCTATTGTTTTTCGAAAATGTATGAAAATTGTATGACAAGCATTTTCTCCATACACTTGATGTATGGAATTGTATGATAATGATTTTTGTTGTATGGAATTGTATGATAAGCATTTTCAGTGTATGGAGGTCAACCCGAGCTGTTATGAGATCTAGATTAAGGTAGAAGACTCATAAAAACGCGGTAAAATCATATTTCGACAGGATTTAATTGCATTGTATTTCAACCTGAATTTTAACCGACTTGAGAAAAAGTTGGCAAATTTGAGAAAAGAAGCGTTAAAATTTTAAGGACATAAACTTTCGGCTCATCGCTGAAGAAAGTGACAAAATATTTGTGCTTCAGGCGGTGCAACCATTCAGATCAAATTTGGCAATCAAAATAGTAGTTTTTGCCAGAATTTTTTTAACCTCGCTAAAAATTTTGAATACTTGAGTTCTAAAAAAAAAAACTAAGCTGCAATATTTTTGATAAAATTCAGAGGGCTGAAAATTGCGTATTTAGCCAAATTGTGTATAGTTTCAGCAATTCAACTGTGATCAGTGGCGTGCGCAGAATTTTTTTGTAGGGGGGGGGGTTCAAAATAATCTTTGTTGACCATTTTTTTAGGTCGACCAATTTGATTTGCCGAGCTGAAATGTTTGAAAAAAAAATAAATTTAATTATATTGCTCCCTTTTAAATTTGATTATATTGCTGCTCAAGGCGCCTTCAGAAAAATTTTGATGTTGGCCAGACAAAACTGGTTCTTGGAAAATTATACCAAAGGAAGACCATTTGGAAAAAATTGGCAAGCGTAATTTAGGAGGAGGTAAGGCAGTCGCCCCTCCCCTGCCCCTGATCCCGCCCTTTTCTCGGCAGGCTACTAACTGTTTACTTCCACCACGAAGTAACGCGGATCTTTAAACTCCGATTAGTTTTTTTCCAAGCAAAATTGGGTACTCTCCACAACCTGATTCTTTTATTTGATAGTACAGTGCTGATTTAAATTAACCGGACAAAAACGCGTTAAACTTGAAATTTAAAACGCATTTTTCTCAAATTGGGTTGAGTTTAGGTGAAAACTTATGATGACAAAAATTGCTTAAAATTTTAGCAGAATTAATGTGTAATTTGTGTTGCGATATTCGGGACCAAAGTTTTAACCCAAAAATGGATCATTATGGTTTTTCATAGTTAATCAAAAATTAAGCCAAAAACACCCAGTCGATCACAGACATAATTATATCAAAGTGAGACCCTTACGTAGCTCAACAAACTTTAAGAAGGGTATTTTCTCCAAAAAAATTGCATATTGTTTAAAAATTGTTTTTAAATAAAAAGTTGGTATTTTATATAGTAAAAATGACCTTTTTTGTCTATCAAACAAAAATAAATTAACTCATACAATGTTTTAGAGAATATACCCTTCTTAAAATTTGTTGAAATACGTAAGGGGCTCACTTTGATATAATTATGTCTGTGATCGACTGGGTATTTTTGGCGTAATTTTTGATTAACTAAGAAAAACCAAAATGACCAATTTTTGGGGTAAAACTTTGGGCCCGAATTTCGCAACTCAAATTATACCATATTAATTCTGCTAAAACTTTAAGCAAGTATTGTCTTCATAAATTTTCACCTAAACTCAACCCATTTTGAGAAAAACGCGTTTTAAATTTCAAGTTTGAAGCGTTTTGTCCGGTTAATTTAAATCAGCACTGTAGTTTATTGGCCAGAAAAATGACTTTTATAAAGTGTAATGGAGTGAAAAAAAAACAAATGTAAGTCTCGACTTCAGAGTATTTAGAAAATGCCAACGTATTTTTGACTATGTAGTGAGTCGACCTTTAATTTTGACGCCGGGCATATTAACAGAGCATTATAACCAACACAGAATCCATTAGTTGCTTGACAAGTATTTCAAATTTCAGAGGGTTTACACAAGAAAGCAGCACAGTTGTGTTTATAAAACGTCCCAGTTAATCTGCGAGGGAATTAACCCACTTGGGAAGTATGTTGAGTTTAATCTCGAAACCAGGTGTGTTTATATGAGTTTATATCAGTCTCTGGAAATGGGTTGGGATTCGATCAGAATTGCAACCCAAAAATTGAATTATAACCTCTGGCTTGACAAGGCGTATGTCATTTTTAGTTTGACGTGTCTTCGTCTAATTCTTTCAAATATATATATGCCTGAATACCTATAGTTGCAATCGTGCCAATTTCTCAGCTAACTAGCTTCAGTTTGCAAGTAAAATTTTGTGAGATCATTATTGTTCGAGCCATTCAACCGAATTTTGATCTTGGAATAAAAGGAATCCAATTAGCACTGACAGAAATTTTGGCTAATTTAAGAAGTTGAGTTGTAAAATTTCTATCGCGAAACAAGTTCAAATTTTCAAAACCCACCTTCAGTCCTTCTTTTTCTCATTTCACCATGATTCAATATACCCAGGATACAGATATTTAAAGAAGGGAGACTTTCATTTTTGTCGAAATTTTGTTATTATGTAATTTGCAGACTGGCCTCCGTTTTCCTCCAAGCACTGAAAACATCTATTTGGCTAACTTAGGGACAACCAAAAAAGTACAACCTTTGAAAGTACAACCCATCAGTCCAGATTTCAATTGATATAAGAAAAGCCGAGTTCACAAGAGCTCAGTCCTCGATTGAAATAGACGTTTGTCCTTCTTCCATAGAAATTAAAACATCAAAAAATGAAAAGAGAACATATATATCCGTCGTTCTTTTAAAATATGTAGAAGTTCATCACAACATTAGGATTAATCGCAAACATAATTCCTCACTTGTTTCACAACGATTTTTTTGAATACTAACAAGCACACTTGATTGCTGGTTTGAAAATAATTATAATTATAATTGTAATTATAAATAATTATTGTAATGAATTGAACTAACGGTGGTGGGGGATCCGAACGCGCACACTGCAATGACGAAGAGAACGTTGAAAACTGCACTGCCTATGATGGTTCCAATTCCCACGTCCACCTCATTAGAGAAGAGCATTCCGATCAGACTGGTGAACAGCTCCGGCGCACTGCCACCCGCGGCCATGAATGTCGCCCCCGCCACATCCTAAACACCCCCCCAAAATTCTGTTGTTTGATTGCTCAGGTTAATCAAATACAAATACCACTGTTTTTCAACAATTCTGTTCAGTCAGTACAAAATTGGCAGTTTTTTTTTCATTTGAAATTTTGTTTCGTCTTTTTCAAGGTCACAGTAAATCATTTTTTCTATACGTCTAATTTTTTTGGGGCAATGATTAAATCGGTTTGCAGAGTAATTTAAAAAAAAATTTTTATTGCCAACAAACAACGCGCTAAATGAAGCTTTTAAAACAAGATTTCCTGAAGTAAAACTGAATTTTTTACTTGTTAGAGAAATTGTTTATTTTAAAAATACCTACTAGCTCACTTTACTGTTCAAAATTTGGCTAAAACTAAATATTTTCAAAGGAGGGAAAAATAATTATCAATCGAATCACTACTGAATATGCTTTCAGATGATATATTACTCGACCCGTTCCAATTATTATAATAATAATAAATATGTCTACGAGTGTTAAGTACAAACATAAACTTATCTTTATGTATTACTTATTCACTCGAGAGATCATCAAATTATCATTGACTCCTCATTTTGTGTGGCCAAAGAAAAAAACTAAAATACACCCGAACACAAAGTTTTTACCCATTTCCAATCGTCGGGACAAAAATAAAGTTTGGTTATTGTAAGTTTTACCGAAAAACTTAACCGCAAAAATCTCCAAAACTTTCAAGTTTTCAGCTTACGTTTTTGGGGCTTGGCCAAAATGGTATAAAAAAACTGACTCAAAAATAAGAAAACGTGAGCAAAAAAAACCTAATTTCCGCTCAACCGAACCTCGCTCCTCCCCCTCACACACATTACCCACACACACCAGCGGTTTTTTTTAGGAGAGCGGACACCCCTCTCAGGGGTTCGACCCCTTGCCTACCCAAAGGTTCCGCCCATTGTACGAATTTGAAATTTCCACTTTTGTCTGACGGACCTTATAACTTTTCTAGAGGTGCCTTTGGCGCCAATATTTATTAATTTTGAGGAGGAAGTGCGCGCCGAAAAATGCGATTTTTTTGCTCAGCATTTTCCAAGGAACGCTTAAAAACGCTTTTTTTGCCCGTTTTTTTCAAAATTTTAACAGGCTTTTTATAGTGCCTTGGCGACAAAGTTGGCGACAAAAGTTGGCGACCAAAATTTTCGAAAAATTTTTGAAAATCGCTTCCTTTTTTTCTTAAAAATCCTAGGTCCGCCCTGAAAAAAAATTGTCACCGGAGGAATGTGTGGGGCAGCACAATCCTCCGGTGACATTTTTTTTTCAGTGACAGGATTAAGAATGAAAGGGTGTGTATTGAGTGAGGGGTACCGTTCTGAAAAAATTTTAGAAATGTGAGTAGATTGAGAGGTTTAGAAACCAAGTAGGCTGGGAAAAATAAAGACAAAATGCTAAATTTACAAAGAATTTGCATTAAATTTATTTAGTTTATAATCCATTATAACGCATTATAGTGCATTTTGAATGGATTATAATCCATTTAGTTTTTGAAAAAAATGACAGATAATAGATGTAAAATCCATTTCAAATTCTCGGAATGTAATTATTCATCCATTCTAATGGAACTATTTTTGGTCTATCAGCTCCAGTGCGGGATTAGTATTTGAAATTAGGGACAAAACTTCTTTATCGCAGAAAAAAAACGCTGTAAAAATTTTCCTTTTGTACAAAATTACAGCAAAAAATGATATGAGTGAAAATTTATTTTGAATTTTAACCCTTGACATACCATTTGAAAAAAGAATTTCAAAAAATCAAATATCATTTCAAAGCTGTTAATGTTTTTTGTATTGAGATAAGCGCTAACAGACAATTTGAGAAGTTCTTAATGACCACTCAATAAACGTAAAACAACTTTTAAACTGTTTAAAACTGCAAACAAAGTGTTCAACGTCGAGTTGAGAAGCAAATCAATTCCACTCTTTATTTAAAATTCACTCTTCTTTGTAACTTTGTCAAAAGCAACCAAAAAACATGCTTTTTTTGTAGACCAATAAGTGTTTTCAGTTAAAACTTTTTAAAAAAATATTTAGCAAATCAAGGCTGAAATGAAAGGTGATATTTTCGTCAATTTAATCTGAACCTCATTTGTGTACTTGGTTTTGCAAGGAAGGAAAAACAACAAAAGCCATAGTCGCCCTTCTGCTTGTAGTCTTCTAACAATACCATGGCTTTCTTTTGAGTTAAAAAGCTTCGAGGAAATTTCCGTTATGGATCGTCAATTTCTATAGAAAATAAAACAACAAAAAATGACTTGCAAATGAGCTTTGAATAGCTTTTGTCTGCAATTTTTTCTGAACCAGTTGTCGTACGAATCTTTATATTTCCTGCGCAGCAACCGGTAACGATTTTTCCATTTGCAAAGCATAAAAATTTAAGGTTTCAAAGAAAGCATCGGTTTGTCCCGCTGGAGAGCAGTGTTGAATGAAATTGCGCAGATCGCCGCCTTTGGTGGTTGCGCGGATCTCCAGTCATATTTGGAAGGTCATCATATCATATCCGTGCATATTTCTTAAATTGTTTGAGCTATCATTTGCCAAGCCAGAACAATAATCAGGATTAATTATATAAAAAATTTTCCAGAGGCACATCAGTGTTTCTACAGAAAAAAGTGAGCACATATTTTGGCTAATTCGAAAAAAATTCTATAGTTTGAATGTTCAAGCAAAACTAATTTTCGTATCAGTATTATCTGGACGTAAAAAAACAATTCAAAGAAAGTTTTTTTTCCAAAAATTGACTACAAAAAAAAACAAAAAGATATTTAATTACTGTTTTAACACATTAAGACTAAAAAAAACTAAAAGAATAGAAGTTTATCAAAAAAATGACAGACAGCAACTGAGGTAAGACAGAGTAAGACAACAATTTTTTCTTACAATTTTGAAAGAAAATTGGCAAAGTTTTTCTGTTGGTTTGATTCTGATCAGACATTATTTCAGGCTTGTTTTGTTTTCGTTTTTCAAATAAAATTGCTGCTTTTGAAAAAAAATGATTAAAATGCCGAAAATTTCAAAAACAATCTCAGCTAAAAAATAAGCAAAAACCTAAGCAAAACGTGTTATTTGTTCTGCACTTGAACTTAAGCTATTTCTGTTACTTGAAAAATTTTGAAAGTAGTTATGTTTAATTTAGTTAATTTCTAAAAGAGTCTAGGAGGAACTTTCTCAAAATTTTATCATCTAGGAATTCAATTACTGCCATCTTATACCAAAAAATTTCATCCGAAAAAAACTCTTAAAAAGCTCCCAAAGCCCATTTCTAATAATCAAACTACAAAAATCAAACTACACAAACAAATAAAAACGTTTATAATTCATTGAATACAGTGTAGTGTAAGTATTATCGACTTTTCTACATTAACTGAGTGCATTTTGCAAGCTCTCGTCAAAAATTGAAGGGACATCATTTTGTCGAGAATGTCAGCTGACCGCAAAAAAATGTCGTTTTTGAGCTTTATTAGGAAAACTATGACCAGAAATTGCGGTTCTTTAATTTTAAAAGAGTGACCTTTTAAAATATTTAAAACTAAGAAATATTGATACCGAAGTTGCTGTTAAAATAATTCTAAGGATCATCCAGACACACGTGGGCATCGTAAATAAATAATAAATATAAAGCCTTTGAAGCGTGAGGGTATTTCGACCGCCCCTTAAAAACGCTACTGAACTATATGGAACGATTAAGAGTTTTATGCGGGTTTAGAGTTTTATGCATCCTATTGAAAATATGTAAATGAAACAAAGTCTCCTAATAAAAAAAACATTAATGACGTGTCCCATGTCTACCTTTAGCTTACATACTGAGAAAATTTTTACAAATTGAACAGCTTTTCATCCAGATCCAACAAATAATAAAGCAAAAGCATTCATAGAGAACTTTGATAACTTTTTTGACGGCGAATTTAAGACAATATCGACTTCACTTTGCGACTGGTTTTCAAACAGGGCAATTATTCAAAATTAGCTTTCTATTAGGATTTCCGCGTTACTTTAATGAATGACGGAAAACGTATAGATAAAAACTGGATCAAGTTAACATCCCCCCCCCCCCTCAAGCAGTTTGAGGGAGGGAGGATGTTAACTTGGTTCAATTTTGGAGTTTTCAACTTTCAACCAATCAGAATCGAGTATTTTACTTGCAGCGCTTTTCGTAGCGAATTTAATCTGAATTAACTGCTGGGGTGAAAAACATTGACGTTGACAACAAGAGACCTCAAAAATCTGCATGAAAATTATCAATACTATTTATTATCAGATTAAAAGTCAATTTAACCCGAGTCTGATTTAAGATTAGGGGTCATAACTACGGAAAAGCGTCATGGGCAGATATTTGGTTTCTCTTAATGAAAATTGACCATACGTATTTTTTCCTTGTGCTAAACACTAGTGCTGTATTTTTGATTTTGTTTGAGTAATTGGGACTATAAAATAATTCTTTTAATGTTTGCTGGATGGACACTAGTAGTGATAATTATTTCTATTTTTGGCGTATTGAGGAATGAATTGAATAGCAGGGATCAAGATAACCCCATAGTGTTCAATTTGAATTAAATTTGCTAAGCGCAGCGTGTAAAATGCTCTGATTGGCTAAAAACTCGAACTCAGAATCAAGTCAACACATCTTCCCCCCTAAAAGGCCTCGGAGAGCGCGGGGGGGGGGGGTGATTTCAAATTTAGTCCAAAGCAGCGTTGTCGCTTTATTGTAAACTGACCTCTGAGAGTTCTGTCTTCTCGATAATGACTTCGAGAGCGGCCACGAAGAACTCGTCGCAGATAATGGCCAGGGCCACGAAGGCATAGAGGGTGCCCATAATGTAGAAGGGTATGAAGGCTCTTTGGGCTGTGAGGGGCCATGACTCCACCAGTTCCGGCGGGTAAGTCTTCTTAGCCCAAACCGACTCATCAGAGCAGCTGCCATTAACCTCCTCGACTCCATCGGTACTCGTAGTCGAAGAATCACTCAACAGATTGCGAGGGTTTAGCCTCGGCAAAAAGTTATAACTACTGCTGCTTAACGACTCAAAGTACTGTCGGTCTGTTTCATCATAACGTGAAGATCGAGATTGCGTTAATAAGTGAGGTATAAAACTAAAAAATCCACTATAATAAGAATCTGAATCTAAATTATGGAGGCTAGCTTGCGAAGAGTAAAAGTCTCCTTTTGCTGTGTATTTTGAATTCGGAACTGAGGTCTCCTGGCCTCCGGGAGGTTTTAAAGAGTGCGAGTCTGGTCTGAGATATGTGATGATCATTAGAAATATTGACGACAGGATGAACCCAACTGTGAAAACATACAGAGGATCTCGATGAATCCGCTTTCGCACCTTGAATCCACCTCTTCGACTTTTCAGCATTTTGCTTTGTCTCAAGTAGTCAAGCGGTATAATTAATCAAATTTTCAGAGCAGCGAATATAATTTTCCTAAGTACTTCTCAAGTTATTTTTCGATGTTCCCATTTATTTGGCGATGAAAACGTCTCGTCAGTATCTTGTGGTCACCTAGTGACGTAGTACTATGTTACGCAATCATGCGTTTGCGTTACGTAATCTCATCGAGTGACGTTCAAGGATTCGCTTGGAATGTTTCTTCTAATATTTATCAAGGACCTCTTCGTAAGGTCTATCCTGTATCTGTGTTTAAAAGTAAAGATTTTTGTGCTCCTCGAACTCTTATAATGTTGGCTATCAGTTTAGCTTTTGTCTTGTTTGAAAGTTCCTGACTTCGACGCTAAAACAAAGAAACAACCATTTTAGTTTTATCAAAATAATTGATAATGGCCATAATGACGCAAAACAGTTAAGGCTTAAATGAAGTTTAACAAGTTAAGCAAACTTGTAGAACACTGAACGGTACTTGCATGGTTTTACGACGTCATCAATTTTAAAACAAGTATCTAAACTTTATATCAAAATATTGAATTTTTGCTCTAAGTTCAAATGATGGCTGTTGCATTTATCCAAACGGATAATTCGGTTGCAAGGTTTGAGATCAAGATAAAGTGTTTCAAATTACAACTATATTTGTAATGGTAAAACAGTTGACACAAGCGATGTTTTGTGCAGTTGATACATCCTTGTATCCATTATTTTGCAACATATTGGAGACATGCCTTAGTTGTTTGCTAGATTAGATGATAGATGAATGGCAAGAATATAAATTGAGCAAACTTATGACACCATATGTTGGTATGGTATCATCTAAAACAAAGCCCCTTGCGATCGCGAATCCCTCGCTCAGTCAAGTATAAAACCGTTATTCAAATGACAATGAATCTAGTGGTATGTTGTAACTGTCTGCAGCAATGATGTTTAAAACCGATCGTTTTCAATATAATTCACATTTTTCACATTTTTGGAAAAGCAAGATGAAGTTTTAAAAATGGGTCTTATGCACTAAATGGCCCAAAATCAATTTTTTTGTATCGTGAGCTGATATGTATGCGGTCGAATCGGATTGGCTAGTTTTAGCCCATCAAAATCGAGCAACACGGCCAAGCATTTTAATCAAGAATTTCGAGCAGATAAGAAAACAAGACTGCTCGTATCAGGGCGAAGCCCTGAATGTTCCGACTGCCTTTTAAGGTTTATGGAGCAGCAGTAAAAATATTTAAAAAATAAATGAAATAAAATAAAATGAAAATTTTTTCCAAAATTTGAAATTTTTTGTGAAAATCATCCCCCCACACGCCATATAAAGTACAAAAAGACTGCTCGTATCAGGGCGAAGCCCTGAATGTTCCGACTGCCTTTTTAAGGTTTATGGAGCAGTAATAACATTTTAAAATTCAATGATATAAAACAAAATTAAAAAAATTTTCTGAAATTTGAAATTTTTTAAAATAAAAACCATCCCCCATACGCCATATAAAGTACAAAAGGATAGATTTCGCTCCTAGTAACAAACCAATTATGGCAAATAAGCTTCTTTCAGCCAATTTGGAACGATTTCTAAGACGGATTAACTCTCCGATGACGCGTTAATAGCGCGAAATATATCGCGCGTTAATTGTCCCAAATTGACCAAAATGGCAATCTTTAAACCCCCGTAACTTTACGAAAAATGATCACAGGTGAAATATCTTTTCAAAATTGAGCTCAGGACAACAATACTTTTCGAATGATAAAAAAAAATTCCGTCAAAAATGGCTAGTTAAAAAGTCGAAATTTGTCTGAAGAAAAAAAAACCCACCCCGAGCACAAATATTCCGTTACTTTCGTATCGAAAGTCGGAATAAAAAGAGAGATTTCGTTCCTTGTAACAAATCAATTATGGCAAATAAGCTTCGTTCAACCAATTTGGAACGATTTATAAGACGGATTAAATCTCCGCTAACGCGTTAATAGCGCGAATTATATCACGCGTTAATTGTCCCAAATTGGTCAAAATGGCCAAAATGGCAATCTTTAAACCCTCATAACTCTACGAAAAATGATCACAGGTGAAATATCTTTTCAAATTTAAGCTCAGGACAACAATACTTTTTGAATGATATAAAAAAATTCCGTCAGAAATGGCTAGTTAAAAAGTGGAAATTTGTCTGAAGAAAAAAAAACCCACCCCGAGCACAAATATTCCGTTACTTTCGTATCGAAAGTCGGAACAATCAGCTGAAAGATCCAAAAATGAGGAGCTTCTTCGAATAATTAAATTATATTCAAGCCATTTGCGAAACGTGAAACTTCGCACAAACAGACAAGAAAAGTTCAGTGACACAGCTTCTGAACAATTGTTCTGTTTCTTTTTTCGGTAATATCGGCTAATAACTTTATCTGCTTGAACTTTTATTTGAAATGCTGGACCACGTTATTTGAATTTGCTTGGCTAATTAGCCAATCAGATTCAACTGCATTGTTTTTAGTTCAAGTCAAGATGTAAACTACTAATTTTGGGCCGTTTAGTGCCTAAGACCAATAAAAAATTTCGAAAAACAATACTTTCATACTTTGATCTCAGGCATCTGTCAATTTTAAGAAAAGCAAACGTTCACAAGACTGAGAAAAACGTAAAACCAGGTTAATAAACCTTGGATTGAAACCACTTTTTTAGAGAAAAATACTTGGTTGCAAGTTTATTTATTGAAATCAATTTCAAATAGCCGGTTTTTAGAACAATCATAGCCGGTTTTTGTAAAAGTAGGTTTATTCAAAGTATGAAAAGAAGTTCTCAATTTATAGTCATCACGAAGCCAAACTGTGTATTTTAGGAATTGTAAGCGAATTCCACAGCAAGGGCGCGCTCTTTGTTCTTCATTTGTTCTCTCGCTTTCTTTGATCGTTACGACAAAATTTTATCATGTTTAAAGATTTGATTCTGGATTTCAGAGACGTACACAAACCAAAATGAGCGCCTGTTTAGTGTACATCTTGGACTTGCAATGGTATACGGAAATAAATGTTTGAGCAACGGAAATAAATTTAAATATGTGTTGTCATCAAAAGCAATGTTAGGAAAATTGAAGAAAACGCCACTGAAAATTTGGTAGAAAAACAACATAGGCCAGAGTTTCTGTCCACTTTTTTCAGAGGTTACTTTGAAAAATCTGATTTATTCTCGTTTTCGTTTAGTCTAAACCATTAATTCTACAAAAACCACACAGATATGAACGAGTTAGAAGTTTTTTATGCATATTCTATATACTAAACAAATGACAGAAAAGTTATTGCCATGTTTTGGCTGACATAAGGCGCAATGGTTAAGGGGGTATTGAGTGCAACGTTTAAGAATCAATCAGAGCAAGATAAACTCGATTCACCTTCAAGGCTAGACAGTACCTGTCCACTTTTTGTCCGAAATTATGCGGTTACAGATTTATTCAGTCTGAAAAGAATCAACTATAAACATCAAGATCTATGCTTAAAAACAAATTTTAAGCAAATTGTTTCAAGCTATAAAAACAACTTGGAATATTACGAAGTTTCATAGCTACAATAGCTTGCGTAGAAAACGTTTTTTTTGCAAACTGATTCGGTGTATGAAATAATCCTCATTATTTCAAAATTTCGTAGCTTCAACAGGTTGCTGGGAAAAACTTAAGCTTTTCTTCAACCGATTCGCTTTCAAAAAATCTGTAGCTTGTAGATTCCCTTTCAAAAGTTTTGTAACTTGAATAGCTTGATTAAGGAAAACATTTCATGAACCGATTCGCTTTGTAAAATGACTGGAAATATTCCAAATGTTTCATAGCCTAATATTTTAATAAAACAAGACTTGTTAAATGTTTTGCGTAACAAATCGGTCTACAAAAATATTTCAAAGTTTCAAGGCTTGGTTAGCTTGCTTAAAGAAACTTTAGATTTTGCAAACCGATTCGTCTATGAATCATCTTGAAAACTTTCGTAGCTTGCACAATTTGACTAGAAAAACTTGAATTTTTCGCAAACCGAGTCAGTCCAGAGAAAACTTGAATTATTTCAAAGTTGCGAGGCTCGAATACTTTGCTTAAAACAACTTAATTATTGCTAACCGATTCGTCTATGATACAACCTGAAAAATTTCTTAGTTTCATAGCTTGAAGAGCTTGCTAAGATAAACCTAATTTTTTCGCTAACTGAATCAGTCTACGTCTTAATGCAAATTGTGTCTATGCGGGAATCAATTTTGTTTTAAAGTTTCAATTTTCATGCCAAAATTTAATGAGACTGCTCGTGTATTAAAGCAAAATGCTGAATGTTTTGACTGCACTTATAGTCTAAATAAACAGTTTTGATTGAAATCTTGGGAACAATTCAAATAAAGAATATAGGGTATATTTCGTGTCATAAAATAAGAGAGAAACACTTTAATGTTGCATCAAATGATCTGCCTCATTGCTCCGACTTTGGTAACGAAAATAACGGAATATTTGCGCTCGGGTGGGTTTTTTTTTCTTCAGACAAATTTCGACATTTTAACTAGCCATTTTTGACAGAAATTTAAAATAACAATCGAAAACTATTGTTGTCTTGCGCTTAAAATTAAAAAATATTTCACCTGTGATTATTTTCGTGAAGTTTCGGGAGTTTAAAGATTGCCATTTTGGTAAATTTGGGACAATTAACGCGCGATATATTTCGCGCTATTAAAGCGTAAGCAAGATTTAATCCGTGTTAGAAATCATTCCAAATTTAATCAAGGAAGCTTAAATGTCACAATTGATTTGTTAATTGGAGCAAAATCTATCACTTTGTACTTAATATGGCGTGTGGGGGAGGATGTTTTCACAAAATAATCTCCAATATTTTTTTTTTAAAATTAATTTTATTTTATTACATTTAAATTTTTCATGTTCTTGCTTCTCCATAGATCTTAAAAGGCAGTTGGAACATTCAGGGCTTCGCCCTGATACGAGCAGTCTGGTTTTATTTTTTAAGAACGATTTAGTTTGCAATTATATGTGTTATAAGGAGAGCAATATAAGAGTTAAACTCCAAATTAGCACTTTTCACTTTGAGCCAAAAAACCACTTTTCAAAACCCAATTACTTGGGGAAAAAATACAAGTGTTTTAAATAAAATATTCATCAAATGGTAAAAAAAAACTATCCATCAGAATCGCTAAATTCAAAAGTCGAAAACTGACTGAACAAAAAAACCACCCCGACCATAAATAATCCGCACTTCTTTCGAAAGTCGGAAAAAAGACAGCTCGTATCAATTCAAACATCTGATTGCAGCAGCAGTGTTTGTTTTGAAACGAGAACTTTGCTGAAAGTCTTCACTCCATACTCAATGTTGAGTACAAATTTATAC